AACAATACTCATTTTGAAAAAACAACAACAAAAAACAAACACATCAGAATGGTTCCTGGACCAGGTGTAGGGAATGGGAATATAGAGAAAAGGGGTAATAAATAAACAAATACATAAAAGGAATGCAATGTTGCATGGAAAAAAGGAAAAGAGTCAACCTTCCATCCTTCCAACCTGGCACATGGCCCCTCCTTCCTCCCTCTCTTCTTTTTCTGCCTTCGTCCCACACAACTTCCCCCAAGCTCATCACTGTCTGCTGGGTATCAAGGCTGGTGTCCTAGAATGTCCCTAAAGGGCCAGTGTGTTAAGGGCTTGGTTCCTGGCCAATGATGCTACTGGGAGGTGATAGAGTGGGAGATCTTAGGTCATTGGGACCATTCCCTAGAGGGGATCGTGGGTCTCTTCTCTGTCATTCCTGGCCTCATGAGATGAATGATTTCCTCTATCTGCCCTCCCTCCATGATAGGCTATCTCATCCCAAGCCTGAAAGCACAGAGCCAAATGATCATAGACTGAAATGGGTAAAAATTACATTTTATGACTGCATTGTACAAAGATGGGCAAAATCCATAATAATATAGTCATTATTATTCTATTTGTTTTTTCTTCTGATAAGTGTGCATGCTCCAGAGGAGGGGTGTGCTGGGGATAGAACCCAGGACCTCACACATGCTAGGCAGGCCCTGCAGCATGAAGCAATAACTCCAATCCCTCTTCTCAAATTTTAAGAAATTTAGATTAAACATTTTCACAGGCTGCTAACCTAATAGACGGGATTTCCCTGTCCTGAGATGTCATCTGCTAAATCAGAGGGCCCAGCTAGACTAGAACCCAGCACTTGGTCAGGCAGACTGGCTCTGTCCCTCACTCAGGAGTCCCCCAGCAACCATACTGGGTTCTCTTTGCCTGGGTGAACACCACGTTCCCCCCTGCAGTGGGCAAGGGCAGCTTGACAAATGTTTAACAATTGGCTTCCTGAAGAAAAAGCCCTGGTCTGTAGCATTTGCTCATTTCCAAGGTGAAATAATCCCACAGCCAGTTTTAAGCTGTTGCTCTGACATCATTCAATGGAAGCTGGAAAGAGATATGTGGTGCTTCCATTGTACAGAAACCACCTCAAATATAAACAACCTCAAGAGCCCAGGGGAAAGCAAAATAGAGTGAAAAAATTAGGAAGTGATAAGTTTTGAGTATTTATTACTTTTGTTTTCAACATAGTTACTTCCTTGTAGGTTTTTTTACTTCCTTGTAAGTATTTATCATTTAATTTTTAATAATCCTGTGCTTGATAACTGACTCACAAAAATTCCTCAAAGCATAACTAACAATCACCTCTGGCACACTGGTCCTCCACCGTACCAGCCTATAAAGGCTGGGGACCTCGGTGATCACAGAAGACTACATTTCCCAGAAGCCCCCTCTCCCAGGACCAGCCCTCAGCTGTAACCATGGAGATGGCTAACAGATAGTGAGGCTGTCCACAGAGGGTAAGGAGACTGCAGGGGCCTGGGGTGGCTGGATTGCCTGGCAGGGGGAAGAAGAAGCAGGTAGGGTAAGAAGCTTCTTTGAGCTGGAGCCCCCAGCCCTGATCTTTTTGGGAAAGTTTTGTTTTATTTTGGGGTGTGTGTGTGTGTGTGTGTGTGTGTGTGTGTGTGTGTGTGTTTAGTGGGGAGGCGGAGGAGGTTGCTGCTAGGGAGTGGTGTGCAGGGCCTGTGTTAGTCAGGTTCCAGGGAATTTTGAGGGACACTCCCCCCACGTTGGCTGTAGCTGAGGAGGAAATAAAGTGTCACAGGTCTGGCTCCAACCCCATCTCTGACAAAGGTGTTCCATGACCCTGGGCTGAATGCCTGCCCCAGCTACCCCCGACCCCTTGAGCTTCTTCCCATGCTATTTCCTTGCTCACCACTTCCCCACCCCCACCATCCCTCTAGAACTTTGCCATCTCCTGAGGATCTGAAACACACAGGTTTCAGAGCCAGAGGTATGTGGATTCATATCCCTAATCTGCCACTTACTGCTGTGACCTTAGGCAGTTCACTTAACTTCTCTAAGCCTCAGTCTTCACATCTGCAAAGTGCATCCCGTAAGATTGTCTGCCTCTTAGAGTCAGTCAAGGTTAAACGAAGCCCTTAGCATAGGACCCGGCCGGCAGCAGCTGTGCAATAAACTGCACTCCTTGGAATGGTCCCCACCCTACCAGCTGGCCTCCCTGGGCTCTGCTTCTCTGCCTGAGATGCAGACAGCTGGATCTGGCGACGAGCTGTGGTGCTTGGCTGGAGGGAACTGGAGTCCTGACCAGGCCCTACTGGACAGGAGACCTCACCTACCTGGGACTCAGGCAGGCTGACCTCCTGCAATGAGTGCTTCTAGCCCTTCCTGAGTCCCAGGACACATTGTCAGAATTGGACAGAAGGGCGTCCCTCTTTCTGTTTTTGAACTTCCAGCTGGGCTAGTTAGGCCTCACTAGCCACATTGAAGTTGTGTGCAACTTTATTTTCCTGTTTTTATTTTTTAACAGTGCAGGAGATGGAACCCAGAACCTTGCATATGCTAGGCAAGCGCTCTACTTAGCCACACCCCCAAAAGTCCCCATTTTTATTGCAGAAAGAGAAACTGAGGCCCAGAAGGGGTGAGGGCCCACCAGGAGCTGTTGGCAGAACCAGATCTTCCCCTAGCAAAGCTCAGTCCTGACAGGGGACTGTGACTCAGCTCCCCAAGAGGCAGAGCTGGCCTGGGCAGGGGTGAACAGTGGGGAGCTGGGTACCCCTTTGCCCTAGCCCCTTTGTGTGGTGCTAGGGATTCAACCCAGAGCCACATTCATGCTAGGCAAATGCTTTGCACTCAACCACATTCCAGCCCACCCCCCTCTTAGTGCTGGGTCCTCTCCAGGGGGACAAATCTGAGGGAACCCTGCTCTTTTATTTCCATGCCCCCAATGTCTCCCACCATTACTGGTGGGTCAGGGTGCTGGACCTTTGTCCTGTTTGCCATTAGGAAAGCCGATCTAAGGGCTGGTGGTGGAAAGGCCCCAGCTGGAGGCAGGGGACTTCTGGGTCACCTGGGATGGCATTGGGTAGCCTAAAATAGGGATCCAAGGAGAGGCTGAGTTTCCAGATGCACTGGAAATCTGGAGGTGGCAGTTGGGCCTCAGTAGTGTTACTAGGAACCCCAGCCTCCTCATTTCTCCACTGTTACTGTATCCTTAGCAGGCGGGCTTGGTGCTCATGTGCGGACTCCTTACAGGCAAGCCCAGGCTGCCAACCTCCTGCCTCATGTGCATGCTTCAGGCAGGAAAAGGCGAGGGGGCCTCAGGTCCTTAACTCACCACCCAGCAGCTTCTGCTCACTCTCATTGGCCAGTACCAGGTTACCTCACAGGCCAGGACAGTCTGGGCATCAGAGCATTTCAAACCAGGCACATTGCTGGCCCCAAAAAGTGGGTTCTGCTCTAAGGAAGAGGACCTGCATTCTTGGGTAGGTGACCAGGAATCCATGTAAGCGAGGCTGTGCTCTGTGGCCATAGGCCAGGCCTTCCTGGGGGTACCTGAGCCTAGATAGCATCTCAGTGTGGACCAGAGAATGATGACTGTTCCTTGGGCTGTCACCCCACGTCCTTTGTCAAGGTGCCTTGGCAGCAGCCTGCTAATGCTCTCTCTGTGCCTCAGTTTCTAGTTTGGCAAGATGAGATATCATTCACCTGCCACCTTCTTTTTTTTTCTCTTTTTTTGTCATATTTTTTATCACCTTACTATTTGGAATAATTTTCTTTAAGCCAAGTCTCTTATTGGCCGTAATGAATATATCTTAATAGGAAACATTATGCTATGTAGCTTTAATAGCATCACTTGCCAGAAAGAGAAGGTAACTGTTAAAAAATAAAGATAATGACAGCAAAGCCACATTAGGGACTTTGGGATAGCTGCTCCTGCCCAGGGGTGCTAAGTGTCTCCAACCTGAGTCCTAAGTGCCTTTGTTGATTTGCAAGTGGTAGAAGTGTTACAGATGTGCCAAAAGTGTAGATGTGTTAGAAATGTACCAACCAGAGACTTTCTCCTTAATTTAATGGAAGTGTAGCAGGGATCACTTCCCTAAGTGATTGAAACCGCCCGAAACCATGCCCAAGGCCATGCAGGTGGTCTGGATGGCTCCTGCCTGGCCCGACAGGAGTGGTGCTGAGAACATCTGTCCTTCCCTCCAGAGACATCATCTCCAGACAGCCAGAGACAACCAGAATGGAGGTCCTGAAGGAGAAAGTGGAGGAAGAGGAGGCTGCCGAGCGGGAGGAGGCTGCTGAGCGGGCTGAAAGGGTGGAGAAAACGAGGCCAGCGGAGGTGCAGAAGGAAGAAGCCACCCTGACCCAGGAGATGCTCCGAGACCTGGGGAAGCAGCTGTTGGAGATTCAAATGCCCACACCAGCAGAGCCCCCGTGAGTGTGTCAGGGTGAGGGCAGACCAGAGCTGGGAGCCGGAAGAGCCAGGCAGAATGGTGGTAATCAGCCTGGGAGGAAGATAGAGGACATAGGGGAGTTAGCTAAGACTGAGGGCTCTGCTTTCAGGTGGTCTGGTCCAAGTGCTCACCTGCTTCTCCATGGCAGTGTAACCTTAGACAAATCACTCAACCTCCCTGTGCTTTCCTTCATCAGTCTAAAAGTGCTGGTGCTAGCCAGTGGTGCACATCTGTAATCCCAGCTACTCACTCAGGGGGCTGAGGTAGGAGGTACATGTCTGGGGCCTGCCTGGGCAACTTAATGAGACCTGGTCTCCAAAGAAAAAATAAAAAGGGTTAGGGATGTAGCTCAGGGCTCCCTGGGTTCAATCCCCAGTACAAGACGGAAAGAAAGAAGGAAAGAAAGAAAGAAAGAAAGAAAGAAAGAAAGAAAGGTGACAATAATGATGCCTGGCTCCCAGGTAGCTGTGAGGATTAATAAAGAGGTCGACAGCGGGTTCCCTGAGTGCCCAGCACAGCCTCACTTGGACTGATGCCATCTGCATTGTGGTGCAGGATCGTAACCAAGGACACCGTTGACATCTCCAACCTGCCCCTTTCCTACAAAACCAACACACTCAAGGAGGAGCACTTGCTGCAGGTGGCCAACAACTTCTCCCGCCAGTACAGCCACCTGTGCCCGGACCGCGTGCCCCTCTTCTTGCAGCCCCTGAATGAGTGTGAAGTGCCTGTAAGGCTGGGACCAGAGGGCTGGGCCCAGGGTGGGGCGCACAGGATAGAGGGAGGTGACACTGGTTCTCTGAGGTCTCCACTGAATAGCAGGTCTCCTGCCAGTCTTGAGCTTTTAGTCCCTGCAGCATAACAGCAAATGCCAATGAGCCACATGCTCAGGGTCACTCAGCCCTGCAAGCCCAGGCCCACTGTAGGAGGCAGTGCTGATTGCTGCAGGGGACATTGAGGCCTGGGATTAGCAAATCAAGGGAAAAAGGGAATGGAATGAGGTTTGAATGGGGATCTGATTGCTGAAGGTGGCAGTTGACACAAATGTTAGAAATTTCCATGTGGGCCAGATAAAACGGGGCAGAGGGGCACTGTTGGCCTGTGGGCTGCTGTTTTGCAACCTTTGGATTAATTCCATGCCATTCCATCTACAGATGGGGAAACTGAGGCCCAGAGAAAACCAGGGAGCTGCCTAGGGTTACAGGGTTGGAAGGAAGAAGCCAGTGCTTTGGTCCTGGTGCAAGTCCTGGTCTATTTTGTTCTGTTTCTCTGCCCTTTCCCTGCTGGGGTCCACCTCTAAAACTGGAGCACACCCGGGAGCTGCTCCTACCCAGAACCTCTGTAGGCCTCGGCAGGGCCTCACACTTGGCAGGAGACCTGATCTACTTCAGCCCTGACTTGCTGGGTCACCTTGGCCAGCTCACTTAGCCTTTCTGGGCCTCAGTCTCCCCCATTGGTACCTGGGGGTTGGAGGAAGGGATTCACTCAGGCCCTCCCAGCCGAGAATCTGAATAAGCTTGTTCTGTCTCAGTGCTGATCATATGATAGGTACCTCCAAGCCATTGCCACTGCTCCACCGACAGCTGCCATATGCCAGACCTGGACGCTGCCTTTCCAGCCAGGGGCTGCTCTGCTACCCCAGGGCCCTCAGGCCTGGCCTGCTGCATGGGCCTCCATTCCCCGGGTCTCCCTGTGCTTTGGAGGAAAGAGGCCACTCCAGGTATAGGATTTCAGGAGTCCGTACTGTGCGTGGCCCCCTGGCATGATCTCTCCCCTTACAGAAGTTTGTGAGCACTACCATCCGGCCCACACTGATGCCCTACCCAGACCTTTATAACTGGGATGGCTGTGCCAACTTTGTCTCCAACTTCCTCACCAGGGTGCCTCTGCCTGACCCCCTCAAGCCGGTAGGTGCTCTGCATGGGCTGCATCCATAGCCACAGTAGACCTAAGATGAGAAGCCAGGCAGGGTCTGAGGGAAGGATGCTCAGCCAGGCTCAGGACACAGCTCCTCAGAGACCCTCTATTGGGAAACAGGCCCAGAGAGAGTTGGCTACTCGTCCAAGGGCCCCTGGGCACTGCCTCTTTGCTTCTTCTGCCTCTTTCTGCCTCAACCGCCTCCATGACTCTAGAAGGTGTAGAAAGGCATGGTGGGGGGATGCCCAGCTGCCTGTGGCCCTCAGTTCAGCTCCCTGGACAAGTAGGAGACACTGAGGGTCAGTGGCCTGGCCATGTTGATCACCCACTCCACAGCCCTCGCACCTGTATTCCTCAACCACGGTGCTCAAGCACCAGAAGGGGAACTGCTTCGACTTCAGCACGCTGCTCTGTTCCATGCTGCTTGGTGCTGGCTACGATGCCTACTGCGTCAATGGGTATGGCTCCCAGGCTCTGTGCAACATGGACCTGACTCGGGAGGTCTGCCCACTCACCGTGACACCCAAAGAGGTACGGCCAGTGTCCCCAAGGATGCACAGATCCCGTGCTATGCCATCATCCTTAAAAGATCATGTCTCTGCCCTGGCCACAGGGATGCACCTCAGTCACTAAGCTGCCCCTTGGCTGCCCTCCAGTCCATACTCCAAACCACTGGTGTTTCTCGGTCCTCAGCATCACACACAGCCCATTTGTCCACACTGGCTGGCCCTCCTGCCTCATGAGACTTAGTTTAAGCTACTATGTTCCACTGGTTAAGACTGGTGAATGCCACCCCCCACCAAGACCTGTTCCACATTTACCCTATGCATTTGACAAAAATCCACTTACCACTCACATCTAAGGAAATAATGGATGTGTGAACAGAGATTTTATTCTCAATCCTCTCCTCCTACCCAGGGAAAAAGGCCCTTTTTATTAGAAAAAAAAAAAAGTGGCCCTCCAGCAAGTGGTGGTTTTTTCCCCCTGTGGCCAGAGCTGCTGTGAACACATGACATGCTCTTAAACGAATTTTAGAGATCAGAATCTTCAAGCCATTGCTTTACATGCGGAAAATAGTCCTGCTATAGTGCTTTCCATGAGTTGGATGGACTCCAGGACTCTGTGATCAGGGTCAAGCTGCCCAGGAGACCCAGGATGGGGACTCAGGGACCTGAGGCCTCCAGCAGGAAGCACGGCACCTGCATCACTGAGTCAGCACCTGAGCCCCAGGCTCAAGTGGAGGGAAGGCAAGGAAAAGGGGGTCCCCAGGCAAGCCTTGCTCGAGCAGGTCCTGCTTCCCAAGGAAAGGTGGATCAAAAGCTCCAACATGGCTGCGGCTTCAAAGGCCTCTGAGCTCACGAATTTATTAGCCAAATGTTAATAATCAATATTATATCAACAAGTAATTGATGCAGAGAACTTCATTTTGCAGACCATGTTTATGTCCACACACTCGGTTACTCCTCACAATAGCCTTGAGTGGTAGATGTTATGGCCCTTATTTTACAGATGGGTCTGTTGAGATGAAATAGGAAGGTAAAATCACATGGCCCAAGTCACACCACAGGTGCAGGGAGACCCAGGGACTATAGTGGGGTGTGCTGGCCTCTAAACCCTGGAGATTCCCTGTTTCTTCCTCCAACTGCCACAGGCCCACTTCTGCAGCTCCTGCCATGCTCTTCCCTAGAAACACTTCCACCACCTAACACGTTTATACACACACGGGCACACTCACACATGCACATCTCCACTCACATGTGCATACCCACACACACACACTTCCTTCTTGGGCATGCAAATTCATACCTTGAGTCAACAGGTGAAACCCTCCAATGACAAGATCTGAAAAATCCGACACTCCATAATTTGCCCCACCTTCTGTGTCAGATCCAGGTCACACTAGGCTGGCGTAGGGAAGGAAGAGGAGAAACTCCTGCCTCCTGAGCCCCTCCTTGCCCTGATGGACACCTCATGTGGGCATTTTCCTGTCCCCCGCAGCACAAGCCTGCAGAGAAGTTTCCTAGTATTCTCACCCAGTTTACGGAACAGCCTGAGACCCAGAGGGTTCAGATCCAGACCTTCCACTCCCTCTGCTGTAGGGGCCACTAGGCCTGCAGGCTCCAGGAGCAGCTGCCAGGCCCTGGTGCCAGGCCCGAGAGGTCTCAGCCCTCGGAGCCTTGCAAAGGGTGTGGTGCAGGGCCAATCACACTTCCTCTCTTGCTGGATGACAGACAGTCAAGAAGAAAGAGAAGGCACAGCCCAAGAAGTACACCATCAAACCGCCACGGGACCTGACCAGCAGGTTTGAGCAGGAGCAGGAGATCAAGAAGCAGAAGGAGGCCAAAGCCCAGGAGGAGAAGCGGTGGTGGGAAGAAGAAGAAGAGCACCTTCTGGTGGGTCCCCTGTGGCCTCCACCCCGCTGGGCGGTAGTGGCCACTGCTAGGGACACCCTAAGGACCATGATGGGCACAGTTCTCCTGGAAGGATGAGGAAAGGAAGCCAAATGGTTCCTTTCTTTGGATTCACCCATGAACTCTTTACCTAAGGAAAGAATTATCCTACTTTCACCCAGAACCTCGACACACAGAGCCAGGAGAGCCCCAGTACCTAGACCCGCACAGAGCCCAGTTTGTGACCCCAGACCTAGTTGCGCCTGCCCCCATTTCATTCATTTAGACACTGGGCTCAGAGGTGGGTGATGGAAGCAGCCAGGCAATGGTCCCTCCTGTGGTTCCCCAGCCCCAGGGAGAGGTCTGGACCCCCGAGCCCACACACACACCCAGCTGGCAGGTGGTCACCACCACCTTCTCTGTGCAGGAGGCAGAGAGGGCGAAGCCTGACCCCCTACATGGCCTTCGGGTGCACTGCTGGGTCCTGGTGCTGTTGGGGAAGCGAGAGGTGCCTGAGAGCTTCTTCATCGACCCTTTCACTGGCCGCAGCTACAGCATCCAGGATGATCACTTCCTGGGCATCGAGAGCCTCTGGAACCACAGGAACTATTGGATCAACATGCAGGACTGCCGGAACTGCTGCAAGGTGCCCTGTGGTCACGGGGTAGTAGGCATGAGGGGAGGGCAGAGGGAGGTGTGGGGGTGGCCTGGGGAGAGCTGCCTCCTGGCCACAAGGGCATCTCACTTTCCCGTGGCTGAATCCTCATAGCCTGTGCCATTGGCCATCAGTAACCATTCTGATAAGATTAACATCTCCATTTGGACTTGTGCGTCCTTTAAAAATGTCCATTGTCTGAATGAGCTTTTTTAAAACTCCATATTGGAATACAAGCTATGTGCTGTCACATGTGCACACCCTAAGCATTTAGTCCAGTGGATTCCTATGGATGGAGCATGCCCTTATTCCCTGCATTCAGATCAAGAAAGAGAGCTGGGCATGGTGGCACATATCTTTAATCCCACCACTGAGGGAGGCTGAGGCAAGAGAATCTCAAGTTATGTGTGCATGTATTTTTAACTTATCTGACTGACTTTGACACACACACACACACACACACACACATGAATGTATGTTTTTAAATTTTCACACCCTAAGCCCTCCACAGAGCCAGGACCAGCACCTCAGAAGGGCCCTTGCCCCCCGCCCCGCCCCCCGCCTGGCTGGTCACTAACCCCATCATTGAGCACTATCCCAAATCTAAGCACATCCATCAGTTTCATCTTGTTTCAGGATTCTATGAATTGAATCATACAGTGTAGATCCTTTATGCCTGCATTTTCTCCCCCTAGCTCTTTGTGAGACTCATCCACATTTTGTGTGTAGCTGTGGTTTGGTCATTTTCATTGCTTATTAACTCCCCATTATTTAAGCATGACAGAACTTAGTTTTCTATTCTATAGTTACACATTTAGATGTTTGGATAGTGCTGCTGTGAACCTTTTCCTACATATATTTCAGGAAACACGTACTCATTTTTGCTGAGTAGATACTTAGGAGAGGCACATGTCTCATTTTAGAAGATTCTGCTCATTTCTAGAATCACTGTGCCGGTTACACTCGCACCAGCAGGGGTGAAAGTTCCAGGAGTCCATCCACGCCTCGGGCCTTGTCGTCTTAGCGATTCCAGTGGGCCTGTAATGGTAGCACTGCGCCAAGGCAGGTGCCCAGGAACAAGACAGGCACAGCTCCAGCCACAGGGTACCCCCGGTATGGTGGAGAAGAAAACCAGTAAGCCCGCTGGACTTGCTGGACTTGAACTCGGCCTTCTGGCTCGGAGTCCTGCACTCTTCTTATTTCCAAGGTCCTCTATTCCTGACCAGGCCAGTTTCCAAAGGTAGATCCTCAACACTTTTGCTCCTATTCTAATGTGACTTCCAAGGGACTACTATCACCCACTGTGGGAGACAGGCGGAGTGAACACACAGTGGAGGGAAAATTGTCTGTGTCTGGGAAGAAGTCAGAAGCTGGGTGCAGTGCCACATGCCTGTAATCCCAGCATTCTGGGAGGCTGAGGCAAAGGATCACACATTCTCACTGGGCAGCCTAGTGAGACCCTGTCTCAAAATAAAGAATACAAAGGGCAGGGATGTAGTTCAGCATGAAGGCCTTAGGTTTAATCCCCAGTACTGAAGAAAAAAAGTTCCAAGACAGAGAAACTTCTACCTTCAGCAGATGACACTTCACCCCTACCGCCCTTAAGGACCCTGATGTCAGGGTCTCAGTTCTCACAGAGGTAGGGAAACAACACTTAGCCAGGGCCACGCAATAAGTGTTAGCTCTTAGCACTCTTGTTTCACAGATAAGGAGACCAAGGCTCAGAGAAGCGAAACGCTTCTCCCACGCCACACAGAAGGGGCAGGGCTGAGCCTGTCCTCTCCAGAGCCAGTGTCCCCGAAGGGTAATGGCCCTGTAGACACTGCTGTAGTCCTCCAGCCCCTCTTCCGGCCTGCAGGTCCTCATCCTGTCCTGGGGCACCTACACCCCCAACCTAGCACACCCCGCACCTGCGCCAGGTGAGGGACAATGATGACAGAGATAAAGGAATTATGAGATGAAGGCCAGAGGGGCAGACATGCATAACTGAGGGCCTGAAGGAAGAGATCCTCATGGTCACTGCCACATGAGCCCTGGGGGAGAAGTGCTTGTTCCTCCCGAGAACCTTGAAATGGCATGGGGGGCGGTGGAGGAGGAAGGAAGCCTGGGGCACATTGGAGGCAGAAGTTGTCCATGCAGTGATGCTTTTTCTATAGGAACAGAACTTTGAGTAAAGGAGCAACATATACCTACTGTTTACCACTGATACTCGTGCCAGAGGTTAGGACAGAATGGAAAGAAACACAAACATCTGTGTAACTGGGTTCCTCTTGGCCACACTTTGACTATCCCCAGCTACTGTTGCATCAACGGGCCCCCTGGCCCTCCTTGTCCTCAGTTGTCCCACTTCTCCAGCCACCACCCCAGCTAGGGCAGAGTGGCACTCAGCATCCCTCCCAGGACTTGAGCAGGACAGCAAGCAGGAGCCCCAGGGCCTCCTGAGCACCGCTGAGTGCTAAAGCTCCTCGCAGGCAGCAAAGTTAGTCTTTGGTCTCCTGGAACACGGTGGGGGTGGCATGTCCCCTGCGAGGTGGATAGCCACAGAGGTGCTCCCCACCCACGGGAACTGTCTGCTGAGGAAACAGCGATCCTGACCTCAGACAGGTGGGGTGAGAGGAGGGAAAAGAGCAGCCCTCACCTGCCTGGGTGCACCTGTGCCCCTGCCAGCTCCCTTCTCCCTGACAGGAGTAAGAAGCACAAGGAGGCTCTTCTGCAGCCAGCCATTCCCCGAAGGTTGCCAGATCCCCTCTGATAAAATCTCACTGGTCTGACTGCAGGCTGCTCCCCAGAGGTGCAGAGTGACCTCACACCCAGCCTGTCCCAGCCGGCCAGGAATGTCACCATGTCTCTCCCAGAGACTGGTGCAGGATGTCTTTGTAGGGAAACTGGGCGATGGGAAGGGAGTGCTGACCCCTCCTCTGTGGGGCCTCAGTTTCCCTGGACGTGGACGCTCGGGCCACCTGGAGCTGTCCCTGCTTGCCTCTGGGAGCTGTTTCCCAGATCCTGTGGAGCAGGTGGAGGTGCAGGGAAGGTGCGGAAGTGGGGGAGCACTCAGCTGATCCCTTCCCTCTCCAGGACTTGGTCTTTGACCTGGGAGACTCTGTGAGGTGGGAGTACATGCTCTTGGGGACAGATAAGCCTCATCTGTCCTTGACTGAGGAAGAGGATGAAGGGATGAATGATGACAATGACACAGAAGATCTGGTGAGTCTGGGAGGGGTGGGGAACAGGGGAAGACTTTGCATGCTGCCTTGCTTCAGGCAGCCTGAAAAGCTCCCCCAAGCCATGTGTGCGTATGGAAGAGGGACCAGGTGGACCGATTACAGATCCTTCAAAGCAGAAGGGCTGGAAGGTGCCCTCATCTTATAGAAGGGCAAACTGAGGTCCAGACACATCCAGTGAGCCTGCCCAGGACTCCCTGTGTGGGTCAGAGGAAGGCTGGGCCTTGAGTTTGGGCCTCCTGCCCACCTCCAACAACCTACCCTGTTCAGGGGCTGTCCTGCTCCTATAGAAAGCTCAGCCTCAGAGTGGGGGCATGAGAGCCTCTTTGCCAGCCCCTGGGAGCCCTAGGGTCGACCACTCTTCAGTTTCATCCCGAGGAGCCACTGTGATCCCCCACACCCTGCAGGCCTTTCTTGTCTGTCCTATCAGGTCTTCTAATTGTCACTGGCCCAGCGCTGTCCCCAGATCCTAGATCATCAGGCTCACCTCTGCTGTCCCAGCTAGGGGCCTCCCAGGCAGGTCTGTGTGGGAGGCTCAGGGGCCCCAGGGCCTTTTGTCTGGCTATGTGACCTTGGGCAAATGTCCTGTCTTTGGGAACCTCAGTTTCCTCACCTGTATGCGAAATCAGAGGAGGCACCTTCATAGTAACGATAATAGGTACATTAGGCTGCCAGGGTTGCTGTAGCAAAGTACCACAGCTGGAGGAGCTTGAACAACAGAAACGTGGGTCCCCCAGTTCTGGAGGCTGGACGTCCAAGATCAAGGGGCAGCAGGGCTGTCTCTTCTGAGGCCTCTCTCCCGGGATTGCAGATGGTATCTTCTCCGAGTCTTCACATGGTCTCCTCCCTGCATGAGTCTGTGTCCTGACTTTCTCTCGTAAGGACACCAGCTCTATTGGATTAGGGCCACTCTGAGGGACACATTTTAACTCAGTTACCTCTTTAAAGACTTTATCTCCAAATGCAGTCGTGGGGGGGGGGGTCTTCAGCGTGTGAATTTGAAGGGACACAAAGCAACGCCTGTGCGACAGGCAGCATCCACCTGGTCCCCACTGAGTATCCAGCTCTGCTCTGGTGCTGAGCCTGAATTCACGCATTTAAACCTCCACGACCCCCAGGAGAGGTGGATACCAGTGTCATCATCCAAAATATTACCCATCGTCCCCTTCTACAGAAGGGACGCTTACACGCAGTGGGGCTAAGTAACTGACCCAAAGGGACACAGCCAGTAAATGACAGAGCTGGGATCTGAACTTAAAAGCCTGGCTCCAAAGTCTGGGTTCTCAACAGCTGCTCTCTTGGGGTCACTTGAAGGAAACTGAACCTGCAGGTGTGAAGTGCCTCGCCTGGGCAGTGCTGTGACTGGCTTGGAAAAGGGATGGAGCGCTCTCTCCAGGGGGCCTCCCCAGCAGTAAATCCCGGACACAAGCGCCCCCTGCTGGCCCCGAGGTGCAGCCTGGCCCCTGGAGGTCCCATACTTAGTGCTGTGCCACAGTTTCAGTCCCGAGCAGGGGTCCGTCCTTGGGCTGGGAAACCCTGTTCCACCAAGACTGACAGATGCCATCTCTAGGAATCAGCACTCAGCCACCTCTAAGATTTCTGCCAGAGCTCACTGCTGACTTCTTTCCCACTGTGTCTCCTGAAGAAATCACAATTAGATGGCTAGGCATTGCAGATCTGAGCAATCTTTGTGGGAGAAAAGTTACACATTGAGAAAGTCTCATTCAAGTGTCTGTGTGTACCTAGTTTGAGGGCCATTTGTCTACACCAGGCCTTATTTTACAGACGGGAAAACAAAGACAGTAAGAATAACAGCCTGGCAGTAACCCCTAAGCCCTTTAGATACTGAGCCCTTACATCACTGAGCCCTCTCAAGAGTTAAGGGAACTGAAACTCAGAGTAGTTAAGGGTGGCAGCCTTGGTTAAGTGGTTAAGCAGCTGGCTGCCTAGCTGGCGTTGGACAGGGGTGGGGCTGGGTCCACCTGACTCCTCAGGAGTGTGGGCCACGCCAGACAGCGGGCAGGGCTTGCTGCCTGAGCTGACTCCTCCTGACTTCCGTATCTTGGGTTGCACTCCTGACCTCCACCTTCCCCAGGCGAGCTGAGGGCCCCTTGCCTTGGCTGGGGTGGGGACTGAGGCCAGCACCACCCACCCGACCCCTCTCCCCACAGGACAAGGAGAACCAGGATAAGAGCTTCGATATGCCGTCCTCATGGGTGGAGCAGATCGACATCTCCCCAGAAGGTCTCTGCCAATGCGTGTTCAGTGCTTTCTCCAGAACCATCCCTGGACTCCAGGAAGGTGTCCGTCAACAGCCAGCCGGGCAGGGCGACAGGCAGAGGCTGCCCTGGCCCCTCCTCTCCACGCTTCCTGCACTTCTTTCCCTCCTATCTTCCCTCCCTCCCTCGCCCCACAGCCAGCTCTGTGGCCAGGGCCTGATTCATCTGACCCACAGTAAGGGCTCAGTCGACATCAGGACCCCTAAGGACTGGAACACAGCCCTTCCCTCCCTCAGATGCCCATCTGGAGTGGCCATGTGCAGTACCCACAGCAGATGGAGCAGGGTGTCAGGACCTGGGAAGGGCAGGCAGAGATGGCAGGAGAGTAGGCACCGTATGTCCTGTGCTCAGGTCTGCTGCCTGCCTAGGTGCCCATCTGGGAGCCCCAGACCGCAGGGAGGGCACAGGCCATCTCTACAGGGGGTGGGTACTAGAGAGGAGGAGGAGTACACAGGCCAGCCTGGGGTAAGTGACTGGGCAGAGGGCAGGCAGAACACTGAGCTAAGTTTTGTTTTTGTTTTCTTAGTTTTTTGAGACGGGGTCTTGCTATGCAGTGCAAGCCAGCCTTGGACTCACTAGGGAGCCCAGGCTGGCTTCAGATTCACAGTGATCCTCCTGTTTCAGCCTCCTGAGTGCTGGGATTATAGACATGTGCCTCCGCACCCGGCTCAGTGGGCTAAATTTTGAAGGACCTGGATTCAGCCCAGCAAGGGCAGGAGGTGACTGTGTTCCTGGCAGAGGGATCTGCACAGGCGAGCACCTGACAGTGACAATGGTGCGGCCGGTGCCCATCCTCTAGTCCACGTGAATCCCATTCTTGGGCAGATCTGTGAACATCTCTAGGTCTGGAGCCAGTGGTGGTGACCATTCTCTTCTTCCTAGGAGGGGCTCAGGGCTTGAGGTGCTTAGCACATACTGCTATGGGGTGGATGAGTGGCCAGGCAGGTTTGGCCCTCCCTGCCCCAGACTGGAAGGAGAGACCCTAGCACCTCCGTGCCCACTCACAGCATTTGAAACCCACTGCCTGAACGGGAAGAAGGTGCTGCATTACAGGAGGGCACAGCTGGAGAAATGGGCCCCGTACCTCAACAGCAATGGCCTGGTGTGCCGCCTCACCACCTACGAAGACCTGGAGTGTAAGGGACAGTGCTGGCTGGGGGCTGGGACAGGGGCAGCTAAGCTGTGGGGGCAGGAGAGCTGGGTCCCCAATATGCCCTGCGACTTTGGGCATGTCACTGCTACTGTTAGTGTAAATGTGAGCTTTGCTAACTTCTGTGCCTGGAACAGTGGGAGGCTGGCCTAGCTGCAGCGAGCAACCTTGGGCCCCACAGGTACCAAGATTTTGGAGATCAAGGAGTGGTATCAGAACCGGGAGGACATGCTGGAGCTGAAGCACATAAACAACAGCACAAGCCTGCACACTGACTACTTCAGGCCGGGCCACCCCCGGGCTCTGCATGGTTCGTGGAGCCAGGAGCTTGGTGGTGGGGTGACACATGCCTTAGAACAGCCTCCACGACAGTGGGGTGTTGGGGGAGAAACCAGCCTCCAGGTATCTGCTCCCTAAGCAAACCAGATATGCAACAGGGAACTTGGAAGATCTAAGGAAGCATGGCCAACACTCCTGCAGGAAGGTCAAGGCCAGGGTCATGTTCCTGCCTAGAGGTCAAGGCTGGGATTGGGCAGAAACCCGGCAGAGGGCACCCAGTGTGGGCCACATTTAGCGTGGGTGAGGATGCTGAGCAGTAAAGCCAACTAACCTCCCCTTCAAGGGCATCACGAAGGGCAGAGTGTGCACAGTGTGGCCACGGCCTGGAGCCCACGAGCTTGGGGAGGGAGGGAGGGGGATGTCTTAGAAGAGAATCAACATCCCTAGCCAGCAGTTCACCAAAGAAGAGTATAGAGCCAATATTCATTGGAAAAAATGGCCTCATTTGGTAGTTGAAATTTAAAAAATGAAATTAAACTAGTAAGGGACCATCTGACAGCCCTTATGCTGGCAAAGATGAAAAGTTGGTCCTGCTGGGAATGAATGGGTGTGGGAAGCAGCAGACAGTTGCTCCCTGTTGTTGCTGGTAGGTCACCAATTGGTTCAGTTTTTCTAGAGGAAAATCAGGCAAAATAGATTAATAATAGCCTTGGACTGGGGTGTGGCTCAGTGGTATTGAGTGTGCTTAGCATGCCCAAGGCCCACGTTCAATCCTTAGCTCTCAGAATAATTATGACCTTAAAATGTGGACACTTTTAGGGCCGGCGATTTAGCTCAGTGGCACCACGCCTGCCTCACAGGCACAAGGTACTGAGTTCAATCCCTGGTACAAAAAAAAAAAAAAAAATGTAGACGCTTTTTGACCCAACAATTCCACTGTGGAGTCTTTAGTCTTAGCAAATAATGGGCAGGAACAGAAAACTGCATGGTGCAGGTGGTTATCATGGTGTTGCTTTTAATAACAAATGACACAAATTAAACACTCAGCAATGGGGAATCGGGTCCAGCTACCGTTCATCTGTAACGTGGAGCCACCTCCTCCTCCTTGGGCCTGGGGTGAGGTCACCACATCAGCAGTGTGGCCCCTGGTCCTCACGCAGGTGTCTCCCTCCACCAGTGCACTCATACAAGTCCATGGAGCCTGAGAATGACCGTGTCATGGAGTTTTATGAAACAGCCCGTGTGGACGGCCTGATAAAATGGGAGGAGACTCCCAGGACAATGACTCAGTACTATCAAGGACGCCCAGACTTCCTCTCCTACCGCCATATCAACTTTGGGCCCAGGTTCAAGAAGCTCACTTTGACCAGCACAGAGTCGAACCCCCGGCCCATACTGGTAAGAGTTCACTGAGCTTGGGGACAGGCTGCCTGCCTTCTGTGGTGCATAGCAGTCACTCCAGGACAAGGAGAGCCCTGACTCTGGAGGCACTGATGACAAGCCAAGCATTCTACCAGCTGTATGATCCCTGGCTGACTGGGACCAGTCTGAGCCTTCAGCCCACAGGGCTATTATCTCCTTCTAGTTCTAGACAGATACACACCATGACCAAACATCGGGAAAATATGGGGCAAATATAAAGACAAATATAAAATAGAATGGCATCCCAGACATCACTGGATTAATAGGTTTGGTCTTGAGGATCTTTTCTAACTTAACTGACATCTGTGGGTGGGTGTGGGGGTTAGAAACCCTCTATTACCCATTTCACATTAAATTGTGCATTTTTTCTCTGCAAATAATTATACATTATTTGGCAACTGAGCTTAATGGCTGCATCCAAAGAAGCTCTGTCTAGCAGTGAGAGATGTCTAGTGATGGAGTAGGCTGCCTGGAGGGGGGTGAGCTCCCCATCTCCCCATCTGAGGCAACCAAGCAGTCTTGTTGAGGGAGCTGGAAAAAGGCTCCAGCACCATGCAGGGCTGGGGGGGACCTGGCCCTGAGAATGCATGGGGACCCGACAATCCATTGCTGGGGTGTTCTACATGGTCCCCAAACAACCCTAGACTTGTGTCCTAAGTGTCTATTGCTTCTGCCCATGGAGAATCCACAGAAATGCCCTTCTCCTCATCCTATGTATGTTCTGGCCCCTCAGAAAATCACAGAGCGGTTCTCCCGAAACCCAGCGAAGCCCGCAGATGAGGATGTGGCAGAGCGTGTGTTCTTGATCTCCGAGGAGCGCATCCAACTGCGCTACCACTGCCGTGATGACTACATCACTGCCTCCAAGCGCGAGTTCCTGCAGCGCTCTGAGGTGGACAGCAAGGGCAACAAGATCATCATGACATCAGACGTGTGCATCAGCTTTGAGGTGGGCCGGGCCTGTGGAGGCCATAGAGTGGGTGAGAAGGGATTGGACCCCGTGTCCTGTTAATGACTCTGCAGAACCGAGGTGGACGCCCCTGAAGCCAGCCCGGAAGTTTATCTCTGCCCCAAGGGAAAACCCACAGCTCCCATCTGTGACCCTTCCCTTTCCCCCCAAAATGAGAATCCAGTAGGCTGAGACCATTCCTCATGGTCCCTGTCCCACCCCTGGTCAGTGCAGGCCCCAGATCCCAGGGACACATGCCAGAGGGGAGAAGATTCTTACCTTCTACCCCTGCAGTGCCCAGCATCCTTGTCAAATCCACACTCTGCCAGCACATTCCCCAGCCCCTCTGTCTTTTACTACCTGTATTTTTAGAAATGGGCAAACTGGCCCAGGGAGGTTAAGCATTTTACCTGAGCTCACATGGCAGGAGTAGATTTGAACCAGATGGTCCCAGGCCCACGGGCCTCTCTGTCACTGTGATGGTTCTGGTCCCAGGTGGAGCCCATGGAGCACACCAAGAAGCTTCTCTACCAGTACGAGACCATGATGCACCTGAAGAATGAGGAGAAGCTGTCCAAACACCAGGCCTGGGAGTCCGAGCTGGAGGTGGGGGCCCACAGGAGAGAGGGCAAAGGAAGTAATAGGGGGCATCTTAATCATACTTTGTGTCACTTCCCAACTCAGGTGCTGGAGATCCTGAAGCTTCGAGAGGAAGAGGAGGAGGCACACATACTGAACATCTCCATCTATGACACCAAGCGCAACGAAAAGAGCAAGGAGTATCGGGAGGCCATGGTGAGCCTCTCTTCCAGCCCTGTCCTGGCCTTTGCTGGCCCCTCAGTCAGGATCCAGGCCAGCTCCCCTCCAAGGCCTGTAGCCAAGCCAAGGCCTGTGGTGTTCAGAGAAAGAATGCAGATCCTGCTGACCTAGCTGCCCCCCACCCCCCAGGAGCGTGTGATGCACGAGGAGCACCTGCGGCAGGTGGAGGCCCAGCTGGACTACCTGGCTCCATTCCTGGCCCAGCTGCCCCCGGGTGAGAAGCTGACTCGTGTGCAGGCTGTGCACCTCAAGGATGCGTGCCTCGGTGACTTCAAGCAGCGGCTCATCGACAAGGCCAACCTTATCCAGGCCCGCTTCGAGAAGGTGTGGTGGCTGGGGCAGGGAAGGGGAGGAGAACTTGGTCTCCTCATCCAGAAGATGGGCCCAGGGCTCTCAACCCAGCACCACACAGATCTGTGAGGGACCCATGAGGGGATGAGTTTGTCAGTGCTTGGGGCTTTCAGATGGGTTGTTCTTCCTCGCTCTTGTGGATGGATGGATGGAGGGGAGGGAAGCATGATCAACGGATGTGTGGGGAGATGAATGAATAAACAAGTGTGTGGATGGGTGGACAGCTAGACAGGGAGATGGAGAGATAGGCTAAGAGATGGACAGGCAGCTGGATGGGCGGGTACATGAGAGGATGGATGGATGGATGCAGCATTACAACTCCCAATCCTCGACTCCTTTCTGTGGGTGAGGCACACACCACACAGTTCCCATGCAGGGTCTCACTTAGACTTCACATAGAGAACCACAAGGAGCAGGGGTAGGGGACAGTAAGCTTCATTTCAGAGAAAGGAAATTGGAGGCTCTGAAAATGTCCATAACTTGTCCAGAACATGTGGGTGACCCTGCTTTGATCTCATGGACATGGCATCCCTCTAAACATGACTTCTATCCAAGACTTACTGGGAGCCTTGTGTCTCGCTCTCTGGCTTGTGGAGGGTTGGCAGGGCCAACCCCTCTGGGGCTGTCTGGTGACCAATGGGATGGCACCTGCAGCCTGGGTGAGGGTCATCTGGCCCCGCTTGTCTCGCTATGGCCACAGGAGAACCAGGAGCTGCAGAAGAAGCAGCAGTGGTACCAGGAGAACCAGGTGACCCTGACACCAGAGGATGAAGACTTGTACCTGAGTTACTGCTCTCAGGCCATGTTCCGTATCCGCATCCTGGAGCAGCGGCTCAATCGGTGAGGGGGTGAGAGCCAGAGAGGACCCTGAAAGCTGCACCCTGGCTTGGTAACCCCCACTCCCCTCCTTCCTCCCTCTGTTTCAGACACAAGGAGCTGGCCCCCCTGAAGTATTTGGCGTTGGAGGAAAAGCTCTACAAGGATCCACGCCTGGCAGAGTTCCTCAAAGTCTTCGCTTGACTCCTCATGGGCACGTGGAGGAAGCTGTCAGAGATGAAATGGAAGCCTATCCAGCCCAGCCCTGTGCACCTTACACCCCACTGATGCCCATTCCCTCGGGCCTGGCCCCTCGGTCACACTGCCTCCCACCTCTCATCGTTTTCCTGTAAATAAAAACATTTTTTACTTGCCATTTGTGCCTCGGATGCATAAGCTGCAGTCCATCTGTTCTCCCGCCCTTCTTTACCTGTAGCCTGGGACCACCCCCTTCCCACCCACCTCGGCTGTCTTCCTCGTTTGCTTCCTTCTCAGTTGGAAGGTGAAGTTTCCACAGCACCTCTGCACACGGTCCCACGGCCACTGCCAGCAACCCGTTAGACCTCCACATGGTGAGGTGGCCCCACACCCCGAGGGGGAATGGTAAAGCCAAGGTGCACACTCCAGAACACAGGGGCTTGATGTGAGTGCCAGGGCCTGAATCCCACTTCCTCTTCTTACTGTTTGCCCATCTGTGAAATGGAGATGACACTATTGTCTTAAATAAGGCTCATGAAGCATAGAGGACTGGAAATGCCAGCCAGAAAGCACTCAGTAAATGTTAGCTTAAAACATGGTACAGGCAAATGTGGTGGGGCACACCTGTAATCTCAGCACTCAGGAGGCTGAGGCAGGAGGATCACTGAGAGTTCGAGGCCAGCTTTGGTTATAGTCAGTTCAAGGTCAGCCTGAACTACATAGAGAGACCTTGTTTCAAAAAGGGGAAGGGGGCAAAGGACATGAAAATCAAATTCATTAGTCTCCAGGGAAATAAAATGCCACCACACATCAACCAGTATAACAAGTGCTGGTGAGGATGGGAAGCAACAATAACTCATAAACAGCTTTCCCACTGAAGTCCAAATCAGTACAAGCACTGTGGGAAACTGGCAGTGTCTACTGAAGTTTAACTGTGGCCCAACAGTTCCACTTCTAGGGTCAACTCTGCCAACCTGCTGTAGTTTGGATCTTGAATGTGCCTGAAAGGCCCAGGTATTGAAAGAGTTGGTCCTCAGGGAGGTGTTGCTGGGAGAGGGTGGAGCTTTAAGAGGTGGGGTCCAGCAGGAGGGGCCCCAGAAGGAACTTCAGTACCCCAGTATCTTCCTCTCCCTCCTTCTTTTGCCCCTGGCCATGAGGTGGGTGTTTTGCTTTGCCACGTGCTCCTGCCATGATGTGCTGTCCTCCTACCAGAGGCCTAAAAGCAATGGGTCTGCACAATCATGGACTGAAACCTCCAAACCTGTGAATGAAAAAACCTCTTGTCTTCATAAGTTTATTCCCTCAGGTATTTTGTTACAGTGATGGGGAGGAAACCAACAACATATCACCCACCCGTCCATTCATCCAGCTATCCACCTACCTAATGAACAAGGGGAAACAGCAGAAGTAGAAGCCAGGTGTGGTGGTGCACACATGTAATCCCAGCACTCTGGTAGGCTGAAGCAGGAGTATTGCAAGTTCCAACCCAGCCTGTGCAATTCAGTGACATAGAGAGACCCTGTGTCAAAATTTTAAAAAGGGCTGGGTCTATAGTTCAGGGAAAAGGTCTTAGGTTCAAATCCCAGGACCAAAAACAAGACAGAAACAGAAGACAATTATCCACCAAAAGACATGTACTAGAATGTTTACAGCAACACTATTAATAAGAGGACCAGCCAGGCATGGTGGCACATGCCTATAATCCCAGAACTCAGGAGGCTGAGGCAGGAAGAAAGCCTCGAGTTTGAAGCCAGCCTGGGCTACATATGAACTCAAGGCAAGCCTGCACTACAAAGCAAGACCTTGTCTCAAAACAAAACAACAAAAAACTAAGAGCACCAAACTAGAAACTACCCAAATGCTCATCAACAGTAGCACTGAAAGGATAGGTGTGGTGATACATGACTGTAATCCCATCTACTCAGGAGGCCGAGGCAGGAAGATCACCAAATTCAAGGTTGGCTGGGGCAATTTAGCAAGAACCTGTCCCAAAAATAAAATTAAAAGGGCTGAGAATGTAGCTCAGGGCCAGGGTGCTACTGGGTTTAATCCCCAGTAGCAGGGAGGAAAAGCATTGAGACATAAATTGTGGTTGTGTAGGGGAAAGGAGTCTGTAAATAGGGAAAGGCCTTATTGGGCTTTCTGGCTAATCCTGACTAGAAAAAGTTAAAACTTTACTGAGATTGCAATTAACAAGACAAGAGAAAGCTGATAAACCAGGCAGGCACCCTAACCAAGTTAGCCTAGCCAGCCCCAGCCCCTCCCCACCTAACAAAGGAGACAAGGGGCAGCCACTTAAAAGACAGCTCCCTCCCCCTTCCTCCTCCTCCCCCCTCCCCCTCCCCTTACCCCTTCCTACGCCCTCCCATATATATATATTCTATATTGTTTCTTTTTATTTAATTGCTAACTTGACCTTGTATGTAAAGTCCTTTTAAACCCATAAATTTCAAAGGTCTTGACAGGACAAAGGAAAAGCAAGGCTCATGTAGGAATTTGCACATAGATCATGACACCCAAATTAAGGGTTCTTAGGGCCTGAAATAGCCAATCAGGTTGATGACAAACGGGGGGGGGGGGTGTCTTTCTGCCACACTAATAAAAAGGGCTGGGAACAATGCGCCCATGGGTCCTCCATCTTTCCAGAGCCCTCTACCTTCTCACAAGGTAGCTGTGTGTCCCCTGCTTCTTTTCTTTCTTTCAAAAAAGGTTTTTGTTTTCCTTCTGTAAACTTAGCCTCTGTAATCCTTTACTGGGGCTGGGTTTACGAATCCTAGTGAGCTGCTCAGACAGCAGAGTAAAGCTGAGGTGTGGTACACACACCTCTGGACACAACAGAAGTAATGCTTAATCTGGTTAATCATGATTACTAACTCCAATGGTTTGAGAGACAGCTAGATTAGTAAAGCGAACTTGTGGGAGTGGTTGGTAGGGTGTGCAGCGTGAGCTTGGGTTTCTGTCTGGTCCCTGGCCCCTTTCTCTCTGGCTCGTCCTCACCCACCGTTTTTAGGCTGCCGTGAGGTGAGCAATGTTCTCCACCGTGCCCTTCACCATGATGCTTCTGCCTTGGATCCTGCTCTCCATGGACTGAAACCATGTTGTTTATGTCAGGTACAGTGGACCCTCAAGCTACAACTGGGACAACTAGGGTTAATTAGGTTAATGGAAGACTCATTTGTCTCTTGTTTTCTATAGTGTGAATCCAGGTGAACATCCAGATCTCAGCTGTACTGACTTATAACCAACCCTCCCTCGGGAACTAATGGAGTTCGTAAGTCAGGAATCCACTGTATTTCGCTCAAGCAATGAAAAGCTGACTAGTGAAGTTGTCTTGAGATTTTTTGGGGGGTTATCCTAACTGGTTAGAAGAATGCTACTGGCATCTAGTGGGTGGAGACGAGGGGTGCTCATCCCATAAGGCACACGACAGCCCCCTACAACAAAGGATACCCAGCCCCAAATGCTAAGAATATAGAGGTTGCTGTAGAGCAATGAAAAGGAATGAGCCACAATTACATGGGATGACACAAATTTCTCAAGTATAATATTACTAAAAGATTCCAAATACAATAACGTATACACTGTATGATTCCATTGTGTAAAAAACAGGTGAAATTAATGGATGTTAGAAGTCAGGATAGCGGTCATTTCTGGGGAACGAGGGTTAGAGACAGAGAAACACTGGGGGAGCATCTGGGTGCTGGTAATATTCTGCTTCTTGACCATGGTGGTGGTATTTGTGAAAATTCACCGACCTTGCACAGTATGTTACCCGGGGTATGTGTACTATACTTCGGTGTTTTAAAATGCATGTCATGAGTCTAACCAAGTCTTTGGACCTAACTTCCAGTTAACAAGAAATTCAGGAGAAGTGAAAGGAAAATTATACTAGAAGAAAACAGATAAATCCTTTAAGTGGGACAATCTTCAAGGTAAAAGGCTTCATTTCTTCAAGAGATTAGTGAGTTAAAATAAAAAGGTTGAGGAAAAGAAATAGAATGAATTTTAAAGAGCCAAGTGTGTTGAATCTGGATTGGTTCTTGTTAAGGAAATTTAGATAAAACCCATGGCTTCTAGGCAAGTAATCTACCACGGAGTGACACCCCCAACCAGTTTCCTACAAAAAAAAAAGTGTTAAGTATATTTTGGGGGTGACTGACAGGATACATTTTCTTTGATGTAACAATGGTTATGTAGAATAAGGGCCTTATTTTATTTTATTTTTTGGTACCGGGGATTGAACTCGGGTCCTTGTGAAACCACTGAGCTAAATCCCCGGCATGGGCCTTATTTTAAAGAGCTACACGCTCAGGATTGAAATGTTATGTTATCTATAAATTTCAAAGGGTTCTGGAAAAAATACACAAAGCATATGTAGCAAACTGTTGGCAAGTGTCAAAATCTAGGTGGTATCATAGAATCTTTTCAAATTTTCTCTGTAATTCTTTATAATAAAAAGCTGAGGAGGAATGCAGGCTGACCAATATTGGCTCGATGTCATTCTCCTAATCAGTTATTTCAATAAATTCCCGAACAGAACCACGTGCGGGGGACGTGGACCCTCTGCCTCTAGTGCGGCTGCTGCTGCTGGGGTACAGGTGAGTAGGAAATCCCCCAAGCTTTGGCTTTAAGAACAAAGGTTCCAGTCCTGGGGCCCTTACTTTTCGGCTATGTGGTTTTTTACAAGCACTTTAACTGGGGCCTCAGTTTCCTCATCTGTAAATGGGAACAGGAATTCCTACCCCTTAGAGCTCTGGTGTGCATACAGAGACCAAATGGCCCTACTAGCCTTGTGTGAGTGTAGGAAAATCTGGGCGGCTCCGGAGTCTTTCGACAACAGGGCAGCGTCACCCTGATTTGCGATCCCCACAGGGAAGCGGCAGTGCAACTCGAACCCAAAACAGGCGCTGTTTCCGTCTAGGCCTTCTGAGGTAGGACTAAAACCGGCGTCTGGAACTGAGAAGCAGTCTTCAGACCTTGGAGGCACCCCTGGCAATTAAAGGGAATGAGAAGGCAAAATGCTAAGGCTGTTTTGCCCCATTCCAAAATGGAAGGTTTTTGGCTTCACGATGCTCCTCATGTTCCCCTCCCCATTGGCTAGCTGAGAATTGGTTTTCCCAACAATGCAAGCGCTGACTGGTCGATCCAGGACGGTTGCTAAAGCGATTGGCGCAGCCGCTGTTGGAGGGCATCTCGCAAATTTTTAAAAAGCAAACTAGATTCAAGGAAGAGAAGGAAGTGAGGAGAAAGCGTGAGGTAGAGGCGGGACCAAGGAAATGGCATCCCGCATTGGTTCATTAGAGACTGAAGGGCGGCTCTTGAACGGTTCTGACTCGTAATTAGAAGGAAAAGGGAGTGGGTACCTACGAAAAGCGGCAGAAGACCCTGCTTTCATTGGTAATCCTAGAGGAGGTGGAGCGTCTGCGGCAGCTGATTGGTGAGCTAGGTGAGGTGGGCGGGGTTCCAGGCCAGATTTTGTTGTGAGGGTCGGTTGTCAAGCAGCGACCAATCAGGGCAGGGGATGGAGGCAAGTGGGGGTCGCTCTTGGAGCAGAGCCTCGGCCTCCGGAGCCGCAGCTGCAGGTAAAGTGGAGAAGGGGGCGAGAGGAAGATGGGTCTGGGGACTAGGCCGAGCCACGCGGGGCTGATCGGGCTGCAGGAGAGAGCTGGGGCTTCAGGGGGGCTAGAGACTACTCCGCAGGGCGTGAGAAGAGGGAGGATCTGGCGAGGCTGAGGGATCAGCCCCAGCCTAGAGTCAAGCGGGGCTGGCCTGCAGGCCGGAGGGGGAAAGCCCAGGAGGCCGGAAGCGGAGCTGGAGGTCCACAGGAGGATGGTTAATCAGTAGGGGCCGGAGAAACAGGAGCGCGAATGAATGGGAGACGCAGATAGCGGTGTCGAAGTGTGAGAGAGAGAACAGAGGGTCTGGGAAAGGGAATGCCGGCGAGACGGTTCCTGGGAAAGAGGTGAAGTGGCTGTGGGAAGCGGGTGGGAGACTCCATGAGGTGGCCTTTTAGAGTTGAGGAGTCATATCGACGACTCACGCCCAAACTGGAGGCTCAGCTCCCAGCTCTGGGAATTTAATGGGGCAGGTGTAGTTCCCTTGCCAGGAGCCAGAAGACTGGACCCTTAGGGTCCTCTTTGAGATCGTCACCAGAGAGGATTTGAATCGTTGTCGCAGGATTGCCCTTCATAAATAGTCCTCTAAGCTTAGCATCTGACTCCAACCTCCATTCTATACATCAGATGAAAACAGTGATTCCCAGAAATCTGAACTGCAGACACCTAGTCTTCCCCGCCCCACTGCAGCTGCTACACATTAGACAGCCAGCATCCTGGAAAGCAGAACCGCCTCCATCATCTCTGCTTCTTTTGTTCTGTGTTCTAAGTCATTCTGCCTGAGGTGACCCCTCTGCAGATTGTCAAACTCAATTTGCAGTGCAGCTTCTGGCTCTGGCAGCTTTGGTGGGTATCACTGTATCAGGCAGCCTTAGTGATGATCCAGGGAGCTGCTCCTCATACTAAGTGTTTCCTAACACGCCATCACCTCTGTTTTCCAGCTAAATGTTGAACTGAGATGGCTCAAGCCTGACATTCCATGATCTGGGATCCTAACATGTGGACAGGCTGCTGCTATTGCTGCTGTGGATGATTTAAAAGCACCAGGCAGTCTAAGGCCAGGAGAAGAGGCATTCCTTCTGCCTGGATGTGTGGGAACTCCTTGCCAACTTCACTGGTGGATCTGGGGGTGGGGATCCACCCCCACCCCACGAAGAAAGCACAGTCCATTTTGTAGGTGAGGCTTCAGGTGCCAATCCCTGAAGAATGGCCACCCCTGTGGTCACCAAGACAGCCTGGAAGTTGCGTGAGTGGTTTTCATTTTTCTTTTTCACCCAATTTATTATGTTAGCTGTGTATTGTTCGCCAGCTCGTACTCAGCTTTATCTACTCTTGGTGCGTTGTTTTTTGTTTTTGTTTTGTTTTGTTTTTTGGTACTGGGGATCGAACTCAGGACCTTGCACTTGGGAGTCAGGCGGCAGCACCACTGAGCTAAATCCCCGGCCCTATCTCCTCTTGGAAGAGAGGGAGACCCCCAGACTTTGTTGTGAGATAGACCAAGATGGAAATTATAACTGGCACCTGTTAGATTGGCAGTGACATTGAGCAGGTGACTTAACCTCTCTGAGGCTCAATTTCCTTGTCTGTACAATGAGATAATCACACCTAACATTCTATAGTTGCTATGAGATTGAAGTAAAATCATGAATGTAATACAGTACTTAGTGTAGGATTTCCAGTTAGCCTGATAAGGAAGAATGGGGTAAGAAATCCTGAGATATTCTAGGCATTTTGGACATCTTATGAGTCAGACTTCCGTGGCCAGGTGAGAGCATCTTGAGGTAGGGGTGGAGAGGGAGGAAGGGGGGAAGGGTAGGCAGAGGGATGCTGACAGGGCTCTGGAATGTAGCTGAGCAAGAGCTCAGCCCTCAGCTCTATGCTAGTGGATCTAAACACTTTGATATAAGAGCCTCTTAAAAATTATTGAAGGCCTCAAAGTGCTTTTCTTTATTGAATTTACACCTATCAGTATTTACCATGTTAGAAACATTTCTGGGACTTTTAAAACACAAGAATATAGGGCCAGGGGCCCAGGATTTAGCTCAGTGGTTCCATTGCCTGCATTGAAAGCGCTAGGTCCCGAATTTGATCCCTGGTACCAAAAAAAACCAAAAAGAATATAGGGCCAGGGATTTAGCTCAGTGGTACTGAGCCTGCCTTGCAAGCACAAGGTCCTGAGTTCGATCCCCAGTACCAAAAAAATAAATAAAATGAAGACTTAGTTTAAAAAAACAAAACAAACACAAGAATATATAATCAAATGTGACACTATTTGATGTCACCACATGTCATGTATCTTCTAGAACGCTCTTCTGTATGCTTGTGAACAAATGAGAGCACAAAAGCCAAACACCATGTTAGTATTATTATGGAATGATTTTGTCCTTTTGGGCCCTCCAAAAGGATCTTGAAGATCCCAAGTGTTCCCCAGACCATGTTTGCAGAACTGCTCTGCATGTTGGCACCACAGTGAGCCCTACCCCAGCTGTCACTTGTTGGCACAGACTTGATGTGTTCCACCTGGTCACACTCTGCTGCACTTCCCTTGGCTGTTTCCATGAGCTGGGGGTAAGGCTCCACCACTTTCCTCATTTATAAAGTAGAGGTGTGGGCTATTTTCAAATTGCTCTTCAAAGCTCTGGGGTTTGTGAAGAACCCTTTTATGGTTCTCCAAGGAGGATATACTTTGTATATACAGAATGGCTTTGGTTTTATCAGGATTATATATCCATCACTTAAACAGCTGGTCTTTCCTGTACATGAGCCAGTGAAGGACAAACTAGACAAAGTCACTATACAATGGGAGTCCCACTTGGGGAGACCATCAGGCAGGAATTGAATAATCACATCCACCCATTTCCAATCCTTCTATAATTACAGGCTGGTGTGTGTGCTTTCAATTAGCAGATGAGGATATGGGATGAGGCAGGGAATGCATGAACAGCGAGTGCAAAGGCTCTGAGGTAGGAAGCTTGTATAACAAGGACTTAAAGGAGGCCAGGACCTGTGGCACAGTGGCAGGGAGAATGTGGTGCCAGATGATGCTAGTGAGTTCTGCAGAGGCTCATGTCCATAGCCCTTCTGAAGTTTTGACCTTACATTAAAGGCAAGGCCAAGCCCTCAACATATTTAACAGGAAGTGATGTGATGTGACCAGGTATATTTGGCATCTGCTGACAATTTCTTGTGCACAGTGGTTTCCATGGTTATAAGATGTCTGAGGTGCTTGAAGCCATAAGACCTCTGGCTCCTTGAGTCTGTAGACTCTGGTAGGGATCAGAAGGTATTTGGCCATCTTAGGTCACTGATGCCCAGTTCTTTGCATCTTTCTTCTGGGACACAAGTCCTCAGCTCCTCTGGCCAGAAGGCAAAGTGTTCCCCAGCTTTGGAGCCTGGGAAGCTGCTGAGGGCCTGCACCATGGGGCAGTACAGCAGCTGTCACCTGTCCTGCCAGAAGACACACTGAGGATTTTGATCTCTTGGCATTAGAATCAGGTCCCAGGCATGGGCATTGGTAGTTGGTGCTCTTCAAGCCAAACTAGAGGGTTAGCTCTCAGCTGTGGCCCACACCACCTCTGCCCATCTGGTCAGCTGCTTAGAGGAGAGGAGCCCTTACCTCAAGTCTGTGCCTTTTCCAGCTCCTTGCCCGGTCCAGCGTCCATCCAGTCACACTGGCACTGAGGCAGAAGGCTTTTCTCTCATTGCCCACAGCTTCCGAGGGCCAGGCCTAGGAAGTACTTGTGTTATGAACTCATGGCTAGGGTCCTCGAGGGTCCTCCAGAGGTCCCAAGGCCCAGTGAGGTGAGGCTCGGCCAGAACTTCCCTGGGAAGTGGAAGAGCCAAGGCAGATGATGGAGGCCTCCAGATGGGTCCAGGGAGAGGGCAGTGCAGACAGGGAGTAGCTTCTGAGAAGGGGACAGGGCTCAAGGCTCGAGAGCAGAGTGCTTAGGAAACAGGTATCCTGTTGTCTTACTGGGTTGAGCAGAAGCTCTCGAACACACAAATGTCTGTGGCCAGGGCCCCATGCCTGTGTCCCTACCATGTCCAGAGGACAGAAGGCTCTGCGGTTGAGATGAGCACTAGAAAAGGGCCCAGCTTCTTTGGATCCAGATGGCTGATGTCTGATCCTGCAGGGAGCTCTCGCCCTTGCTGGGCTGGGTACTGCCTTGGCCAGTCCCACCCGGGAAGTGTCAAACCCCTAAGCATCTTTGATAGCCCCTCCGAGTTGGGCTACTGAGCTTTCCTGGACCCTCTCTAGCTTCCTTGTGGTCTGCAGCTTGCACCAGAGTCACTTGGGCAAGGTGGAGTCTGAGCTGGGGTGGAGGATGGGCCCTGCAGAGAGCTGTAACACCCTTCTCCTCTGCATCACCAAGCCAGCCTCCCAGCTGCCTCAGGGCATCAGCACCTGGGATTTTCCCTCCCCTCTGTGGAGAGACCTGTCTTTTCTCCTCCTCCTTCCTAGGAAGAGCTCACCCAGGGACTGGCCCGGCCTTGTTTTGTGCCTCTCAGAGCCCCGACAAGGCCCCTAGAGGTTCATGGCTGCAGCCCAGGGGTTCCTAGTAGCTGCCCACAGGTTTATCTCCATCTCTGTCTGGTCAGCCCTCCCCCGACTCATCTGCCTGTCTGCTGCCACCTCAGGGACCCTGTGGCTCCTCTGTATTGCTGACCAGTCCTTATCCTGCTAACAGCCACAAGCACCCGCTCCCTCCAGAGCAGGGCAGGGCCCTGTTCCTAGACCTTCAGCACCCCATGGGGCAGCACCATTTTCTTCCCACTTAACAGGCAAGGGCCAGCCTTCAGAGTCAGGTGACTCCGACTTGTTTGAGGCACCTAGTGGAGCTCAGACCAGCCCCTGTGCAGCTCAGTGGTATTATTCTTCTTTTTTGAAGTAAAAAAAGAAACAATAACTTTTGGCAGGTAGTCCTCCTCAGTATCTATGTAGGATTGCTTCCAGGACCCCTGTGCCCAGACACTGAGGTTCCACAGATGCTGAGTGGCTTGATGAAGTGAGACAGGCTTTGCACATCACCAACGTGTGTCTTCCTGTGGACTTTTCTGGGTTACTTATGGTACCTGGTACAGTGTGAGCGCTATGTAAATAGTTGTTACCGTGTATTATTTAGGGATAATGATATGAAAAGTCTGTACCTGTTCAGTACAGATACATTTTTCCCGCCAAACATTTTTAACTGTCAGTTGGTTAAATCTGTGGCTGTGGAGGGCTTGGCCACCTGTGCAGTCCGTCAGTCTACTACCAGTTAATGTGCATAAAAAGGAGAGCTCAGGAGGCCTTGAGGCAGGACCAGAATGACTGAAATCTGAGGCTCAGTGGTCTTTCAGCCCTGAGAGTTTCCAGTTCCATGGCTGTTGGCCAAACAGAGCTGCTCCTCCTCCATATGGGCCATCCAAGCCCTCTGACTGACTTCTTTCTCCTTTTCCATGTAGAAGAGATTGTTGCCCATGCCAGCAATGTGTCCTCGCTGGTGTTGGGCAAAGCCTCAGGACGGCTGCTGGCCACGGGTGGGGATGACTGCCGAGTCAACTTGTGGTCCATCAACAAGCCCAACTGCATCATGGTGAGTCTCAGGGACTGTGGCGGGCTGGGGAGCAGGCGACTTCTCAGGCACCATAGAGCACAAGACACCCATCCTCTGGGGCCAGCCCAGGCAGGGAATGGACACAACACCCTGTCATACAACTCCCGGCTATCTGTTCAGGAAGGCCCAGGACGGCTGGGTGGTGGCCAGCTCTCAGGAATAGGGGAGCCACCTGGCTGTAGGACAGAATTTGAGTTTGCATGGGAAATCCAAATAAGCCCCTGGCCCACGGCTGAACCAAAAGGCTGTGCCTCCTGCCTACCCTGTCACCTATGTGGGGATGGTCATTTTGATTCTTTCCCAACCTCAGTCCACAGAAGGGATTTACAGGGACTCCATTGAGCTGGTTAGGGACCTAGTTCTTTAGTAGTATCTTTTCCTGGTTACACAACCAGATGCAGGACTAGAAAGTGCCTTCCAAAGCAGGAAAGCATAAAGGAGGAAAAACAAAATTAATCACAGACAGTTCTGTTTTCTGAGACCAGTACAGTTGGTATTTTGATCTGTGCCTCTCTAGGTGATGAAATACACAAATACTTGCACACACATACATAAAAAATATCTTCCAATTACTATCTTACTCTTGTGTAACCTGGTCTTTTAGACTTAACAATGTTGTGAGAATTTTCCTATGTCAACAAATATTCTTTTACAACACAATCTTTAATGTCTTCCTGGTATTCCACTGTAGGGATGAGCTGTAATTAGCTTCACCATACCCTGTTATCGGCATGAGTCTGATTCCAGGTTTTGGGCTCTGCTAAACCACACTGTGGTGAGCATCTTCATCTACCCAGACCTTTCAGTGTGTTGGTGATCACTACATGTAATCCAAGGGTGTGTGCTTTTTAAAAAGCTTTCAAAACATCTTGTCAAATTGCCCTCCAGAAACCAATCTACATTCTCACCAGCAGCATAGGAACCCGGCCCCCATCCTTGCCAACACAAAGAATTATTATTCTTTTGACTCTTGATCAAATAAACATAAAGAAGAAATGGTAGGAGGTGACATTTATCAGTAGAAACATAATCACTTCAGTGTTCCTATTAGACCTACCCAGCCCGTAGCCCGTGTGCCTGTCTTCACTAAGGACAGAATTGAGATTCCGTTTTTATTTTACTTTGTAGTTTTTAAGGGTTCTTTCCCTCTGAAATGCCAGTCACATACCCAAGTTGAAAAAAATCAAAAGAGATCAGAAATAGGACCTGAACTGACCCATGCTCTTCCTCCCAGAGCAGGCAGTGAAGTCTGGGCCCTGGCCATCAGCTTTCTCTTTGGATACCAGATGCAGCCTTCAGGCCCCCAACTGGCCTTAACTTGTACCTCTGTAAAGCATCCACCCTGGCTTTGGGTACCACAGAGCCGCTGAAGTCTCCCGCCTGGGCATTTATATCTGTGGTGCTAACTCTGCAAATGGTCTCCTTCATTTATTTGTTTACCTTTGAATAAATGAGACACTCATGTGGCTCAACATTGAAAATAGAGTGAACAGTAGAGTCTTTCTCTCTTCCCTGACTCCCTGCTGTGTCCTTCTAGACTTACTCTGAATACAGACAAACAAATGTATTATCTGTTCCCTCTCCTACTTTTTTACACAAGGGGTATCATACTGTATACACCATTCTCCACCTTTTTTCACCTGAAAGTCTCATGGAGATTAGTATCTTATCAGATTTAAAGTTGTGGCTTATTGTTTGTGGTATGTATGGGGATTGAACCCCAGGCCTTCACACTGAACTACCTCTCCAGCCTTTTATTTTTTGAGACAGAGTCTCCATAAGACACTAAGTTGCCCAGGCTGGGCTTGAACTTGCAGTAATCCTCTTGGTTTAGGCTCCCAGAATGCTGGGATTACAGACGTGTACTGTCACACCCTACTGTCTCAATCCTTTCAGTGGTTAAAGAGTTTTCCATTGCATGGGGGACTGTGGATACCACCGCTTAGCCAACAAGATTCACTGCAGCAGATAACCTTGGGTTTGTGTTGTTTCATGGGCTTGCACACGGTCAGGGCTAGCTCCCCAACATGGAATTGCTGGTTTGAAGGGAATTTGCCTTTCTAACATGGATGGGCTTTGCCCAGTTGTGGTCCAGGGAGTTTGTACACATTCAGACCCCTGCCAGAGCTGAGTGGGAGTCAGACAAGCTGCATGTAAGTATTAGGCCTTGGGGGTAGATCTGCTGAGGAGCAGGTCCCCTCTCCAATTCCCAGTGGAAATGTCATCTTAGCAAGCACTGATGGAGTCACCATTGTCCCTTGAGATGGCCAGGACCAGGCAAAGAATGACAGACACCATGGACTTAGTTTCCAGCCTCCTGTCCAGAAAGCTGGAGATGCTGGTACCTACCACCCTCAGAGTAACCGGCTGAGGTGCAGCCCAGCCCAGCTCTGCTTGCTCTGGGTGGGTGAGAAGCCACTTGTCTTCCAGCAGAAACACTCCTAGGCCCCCTAGGTCCTATGGCAGGGTTCCTGCCTGGGCTGGGAGCCCCTGAGCCAGGAACCCAAAGGGGTGAGATGAACCTGCCATGGCTTCCCCGCTGAGTGCAGTGCCAGATAGAGTGGAGATGCAAGCCGCTTAGGCAGTGGTCATTTGGATTCAGGACCAAAGGATTGGTGTCCGTTTATCTTTTTTTTAGACAGGGTCTTGTTATGTAGTTCAAGCTGCCCTTGAATTCTCTATGTAGCTCAGGCTGACCTGGAACTCAGTGATCACCTGCCCCAGCTTCCCAAGATCTGGGATTACAGGTGTGCACCATTAACACCTGGCTAAGGCCCTTTCTTATCTTGATGAGCTGCTCCCCATCCAGAGGCCCAGGGCCATTTCTGTAGCTGACACCCATACCAGGAACACCAGGGGAGGTGGTTGGAGGATGACTGGGGTTTTGCTGCCTTGTAGTCCTGGCCACTGTGGCTGGGAGAAATGACCATGCAGAAATGGTCTGCAGGAGGGGCAGGGTGTGGCCCGATGAAGCAGCCTCCCTTCCTTAGCTACTCCTTGCTGAAGACTTTCCTCGGGACCCCAAATTTGGGACAGCAGCTAGGGGGTATTCCTACAGTGCACTGAAGCTGCTGCCCTCTTTTCACAGAGCCTGACAGGTCACACGTCCCCAGTGGAGAGTGTCCGCCTCAACACCCCGGAGGAGCTCATTGTGGCCGGCTCCCAGTCGGGCTCCATCCGAGTCTGGGACCTGGAAGCTGCCAAAAGTAGGCCCCTTGCTCACTGTCCTCCCTCAGATGCCTGGGTTCATTCTTGGGCTCAGGCAGGGTTGCGCCGCTATTTCCATCTGACCAGATGGTGTGATGCCCACCTGTCTGTTAGCCTAGCAGCAGTGTGGGGTGCTTTCACCTCAGCAGCTGGCACTGAGGGGTACCAAGAATGTCTGAATGAAAAAACCACGAAGAAGGGCACATTCATGGGTGGGAGGGTGTGGATTTGGAACCTGGAAAGATGTCAGCTGCTGCAGGACACATGGGTGAGTGGGTGGCTGTATGAGGGGAGCTGTGAAGAACTGGGGTACAGGTCCCCCAACTCAGGATGGCCCACACTGAGGCCTGCTCAGTTACTGCAGGGACATGTGCCTCATGTGGCTGGATCTTCTGTTGCTTGTACTGTTTGTCTTAATTTAGTTTTTCTTGATAGAATTTTTTTTTTTTTTTGACACCAATGGAGCAGGGTTTCATTTTTAACTGAGAATCTGGTCCAGAATCCGAGTAGTGGGCAGCCCCAAGGAGACTCCAGAAGGCTAGGTCTGGTGGTGTCTGGGCAAGACAAACGCTTAAAGGTGGAGTGGCCGGTGTCCAGGGTCACAAGTCAGTGCGGGGTACTCAGGAGCCTGAGTGTGGTGAGGCAGTGCCCTCCCAGGGCTTGGGCCTCCGAGGGAGCCAGGATGCTTGGGGTCACCATGGGTGGCCATGATGTGGCGCTTCTCCAGCCCCAGGAGCTCCTGGCCTTGCTGCATCAGCTGCAGAAGCTGCGCCAGGGTCACTAAGGCTGAGGGAGACCTGGCAGGGGTGAGGGGTCCAAGGGCCCAGTTGATAGATATTTAAATGTGTGTTTTAGAGTCCAGGACAGGTGGTTCTAGAATCAGTCATGATGGAAAGAGGAAGCCTTTGTCCCGCTCCTTCCCATTCTCCAAACCCTCACCTTTCTGATCTTCGCCTCTCATTGTGCCAGTTGGGTCCTCTTTGCTAAACGACAGGATGACACTGCAATCTCTTTTTCTTTTCTTTAATAAATGTGTACATTAAATACCTCCTACTGTGGCAGACAAAGGTTTGGCTCTCACAGCCACCCCAACCCTATGTTCACATTTTTTTGTGCCTCCCAGTATCACCATTTAAGTGGTCAGTGTTTTTTGTTTGTTTGGGGTTTTTGTTTGTTTGTTTTTTTGGTTTGGTTTTTTGTGACAGGGTCTAGCTGTGTAATCTAGGCTGGCCTTGAACTCACTGTGTTGTCCAGGCTAACCTCAAACTCATGGCGACCCATCTGCCTCCGCCTCCCAAGTGCTGGGATTACAGGTGTGTAGCCCTATGCCCGGCTGTGGTCAGCATTTCTGCTGTAAGGGCAACAGGAATGTTATTCACAACTGGTTACATTTATTTCTTTTCTTTTTTTTTTTTTTTTAATTCTTTTATTGGTACATTGTAGGTATACAACACAATTACATTTCTCATTGGGAATTGTACCTTTACATAATGCATCTTGGTTCTTATTTTTTCCCCATTCCTAACCCTCCCTTCACGCCCTCCACCCTTTCCTATTTACAAAAACTTTATTTCCATTTTTTCCATTTCTCATCATTTTTCCTTTCCCTTCTTTCCTTTCCCCTGCACTACTCCTACCCCTTTGGACCTTTTCTTCCTATTTTACATTATTGATTATTGATTCTAATCATTGGTACATTTTAGGTATACAATATAATGACATTCATCATTGGAAATTTGCACCTTTGGTTACATTTATTTCTATAACTTTATTTCCCTGGAGTTAAAAATTGTTCCTCCTTTCTTCCCCACTACCAATTCATCCCAGATTCTCAACCAGAAGAGTAGACTTCCTCCTGTTCCCTTCAAGCCCATCCCATCACACAGGTATCTCTTCTCAGAGCTGTGTTCCAAAGGTCCTAGTGCCAGGGAGCATGGGGAGATGCAGCCCTCCTGACCCCTCCTGTGACATCATCTTCCTGTTTTCCTCTTCCTGAGATGGAGTCCATTGTCCTGTGGCTTACTGCGAAAGGGTGCTTGGCAGGCACAGTATTAGTGGCTGTCCCTGACCAAAAGTGACTGTTCTACCCCTGTCTTTTCAAGTTTGATTGTAGAGTCCTGGGTTGGAAATAATTTGTCCTCAGAATTTTGAAGGTACAGCTCCATTGCCTCTTAGGGTCCGGGATCACTGCTATTGTTAGGCCAGATGTTTCAGGTAGTATCTGCTTCCTCCCTCCCTGTCTTCCCTACTCCAAGCTTGTAGGATCTGTGTCCAGTGTTGTGATGTTTCATGGCCATGAGCCTTGGTGTGGGTCTGTTTTCATCCCTGAGGTGGATCCTCCCTGGATCCTCTCAGTCTGGAACTTGCCATCAGTTCAGTGCCCCTAGGAGTCTCGCTTTCCCTGCAGGTGAGCTGCCTCACAGGCTCAGCGGCCATTGTCGTGTGGCAGTAGGTACAGCACTGCCGGCCCCACAGATTTATCAAAAGAATCTGGAAATCTGAACATTTATGTGGAATCCACCCACTTTTCAATGTTGCTGGCTGACTCTGTGTTTTGTAGAACATGGCACAGGCCAGAATGGAGATGCAAATGGAGCTTCTGTTTTTGCCACATCTGGGTGTGCCAGGCAGGAAGTGGTCTTCAACCTATGAGAGTCTAGGTTTTTCTGAGGCTACCTTTGCCAGACAGCCCCTTGTGCCTGACTGAACCTTACAGCCTCTTCTGGGCCTTGCCTCTGGCCCATGTCCACGTCTGCTGCAGGACGGTGCCCATCGGCCATGCAAACCCAGCAGTGAGGTTCACTCTGCCCCAGAAGAGTAGTGGTCTTATGCAGATGGTCTTCAGGAAAGATAGTGCCCCTGGGCCTCGAGTGACACTTGCCCACCCTGAAACTGTCTGTTGAAGAATGACAGAGTTCTGGGACCCCTTGAGGACAAACGAGCTGCACGCCTTGCTTCTTGGCACATGGCCCTGCTGCCCAGCCACACCAGGACCAGGGCTGTTTGGTTCAGGCACCTTTAGCCTCAAGCAAGCTACAAGGAGCATGCCCAGGATGAGAAGGCAACCAACTTGGGTTTAGGGCAGCCCCCAGAAACCTCTGTGTGGACCTGAATCCCAGCACATGACCATTCACAATTCACTGAGGAACAAGGGACCAGAGGGAGAAGCCAAGAGTGCTGTGTCCCCATCCCAGGCCTGGTTAGCCACAGGATTTCACTCATAAGGGAAATGTGAGTGATTCCTTGAGGGGCCAAGAAATAGAAACTGAAGACCTCAGCTTTCAGGGCACTGGCTCCCAGGTGGCTGCTGCGCAGGAGCTTGTCACACACACAGGCCCCAGACCGCCCGAGAACCTGGTTGGTAGTGGGATGGGCCCTATACCCTGTATTCCGTAAGCTTCCAGCAGGTTCTGATGCAGAGCCAGGTTGGCAGGGCCCTGTCATCTAACAGAACCTGGAACTTGAACCTTGGTGTCAGGACTCCCACCCCTGTGCTCTCCGCTTTGCCATCTGCTGCCTTGAGTTGGGGGCTTCCCAGATGGAAGAGAAGCTGGCCCTCAGCAGTGGTGCCAAGACCTCAGGCCACCCTTACCCCACTTGCCAAAGCATGACAGTGACAAAAGGCCAGGTGCAGAAAGGGCTCAGAAGGAGCCACTCATCATGTTAGCTGCCTTGAAATCAGCCCAGTGCCGGAAGATTCAGGCAGAGGCCATGCAGCCACTCCACTGGGAGGCTGGGAAGTCCCTGCATAAGGCAGGCACACCTGAGTGCCCTCTACTCTGTAGTTCCAGGGTCCTCTGACCAAGTCCGGACATCTCCCAAAAGAGTTGAGCAAGCAGGGGCAGAAGTCAGGCTGGAAGAATGTGGTCCTGCCGGCTTTCTACAGCACAGCCAGAGGGTGAGGGTGGGCCAGCCAGCAGATCCCACAGAAGGCAGCGTGTGCCCTAAGAAGCTGGCCCATGCAGGGGCAGGACCTGCCACAACTGCTCAGGGCAGGGCAGGACTTCAGGCTCCTGGCTGGGAGATGCAAAGTGAGTGGATTAGGGGTGGTATGAAGTGGGCAGCATGTACCTGAGGCTCCTTAGGCAGCAGAGGAGTGTGGAGCCCTGGCAGCACAGACCAAGGAGGGACAGCTGCCCAAGGCTGATGTGGCTGAATTGGACATTCATAGGACAGATGTGGCAGGCACCTAGTCACACTCCCTGGTGTGAAGGGACACAGTCCCAGCTCCAGCACCCGATGGCCTGCTGCAGAGGGAACTGAGGCCGCATGGAGCATGGACTCTGTCCTTAAGGCAGATGAGGACGACAGCAGCCACTTTTATTCTGCTGTCACCGAGTTCTGCCCTGGGCTTGTGGCCCCAGCATCGATTCCTCCCTTGCAGGTGAAGCATATTGGAAAGGATGCTCCTGAAGTGGCAGAGCTGGCCCAGTTTCTGGCCCTGCACACCACTCTTCAGCCTCAGGCCAGCAGCTGCACTCTGAGCCCTTGCCTACCTTCTGGAATGGTTGGAGGGACTCAGTGACCTAATGCAGTGACATTGCTTAGCCTGCTAAACACTACGAGTGCTCACTAGACATCCTGGGGACAAGGGAGGTGCCAGATGGCCACAGATCTGGGTGGTGCATTGTCACTGAGGCCAGAGAAGGAGAAGCAAGACACATGTTCCCAGAGGAGGAGGGAAAAAAAGGTCCAGTGTGGAGGATGGACAGGAAAAATTATAACTGGCACTTAGCAAGCAGTTGGTGCATGCCCAGCCCACGTTAAGCACTTCATTTTCTTACTTGGTTCTGACCATAACCCAGCTTGAGGCTCAGAGAGAGTGAGTATCCAAGGTCACACAGCAAGCAAGGAGCAGAGCCAGGACTGATCCCCGTCTTTTCTGGCTCCTGAGCCTAGGCCCAATGTCAAGGGAGGGAGAAGATCACACAGTAGACTTCATTCAGTTTATCCAAAGCTTGGCTCTCAGCACTCCTGTGTCTGAAATACTACGTTTGGAGTCTTGAACACAAAGAGTCCTGCCACAGAGAACTCACTTATTTCACCTTCACTCAAACCTCAGAGTGGCTGGACTATCACACTCCTTGACCCCAGCACTTGTGGGCTGATCAATTTCATCCAAACAGTAGAAGTAAAAATCTCTAAAAGCAAGACAAATGGAACAGATTTGAGTGGTGCTAGAGGATGCCCTGAGACAGTGCACAGTTTTGCCACTAGGCTGGGCCAGGCGTGGCCATGGAGCTGCTGGCAAACTGGAAGGGTGGCAGATGTGGCTTCCGGATAGAGAGGTGATTGGTCCCAGCCTAGGATGTGTCCTCCTAGTTCTCACTGCCTCCACTTGCCATGACAACTACCCTCACTATCTCTCACTTGGATAGGTGTCACCCCAAGGCCCAAGTGAGCATCCAGCCATGCCTGCCCCTTGACCTCACTTCCATCTACCTGCCAGGGCCCCTCATCCCCCACCCACTGACATCTGCTATGAAATCACCGCCTCCGAAGAGCCTTTCTGGATTTCTTTTTTTGATCAAACAGCTGCTCCCAGTGCTAGAGTTTCTCCTCCCTCTCTCCCTCTCTCCCTCTCTCCCTCTCTCCCTCTCTCCCTCTCTCCCTCTCTCCCTCTCTCCCTCTCTCCCTCCCTCCCTCCCTCCCTCCCTCCCTCCCTTCCTCCCTTCCTTCCTCCCTGCTTCTCTCCCTCCCTGGCAGTCTCAGGTGGGGATGTTTGCCCTGCAGACACCCACGGGGCCTGGGCTATATGCAGTTGTCCTGCTCTGCCACTCTGGGGGCTTTGCTCACCCAAGCTCTGAGGAGCTGGGAGCTTGAGTAAAAATAGGAATGGCTGTCATTGCAAGGGAAGCAGGAACACTAGTGGTTATGGTGGTGGAGCTCTAGCTGATTTGTTTCCCATGCATTTACTACTGAAACACATGCACAGACGGGCCCTGCAGCCCTGCCTGTCTTCCATCTCACTTGCTCACACCATGGCCTCTGCTCTCTTTTGCCTTCTTAGTTCTTCGCACACTCATGGGACACAAAGCCAACATCTGCAGCCTGGACTTCCACCCTTATGGCGAGTTTGTGGCCTCTGGTTCCCAGGACACAAACATCAAAGTGAGTTGCCTCTCTGGGTAGCAACTTGCCTGACGGGTGGGCTTCCATCTGCATCCTTCCCCCTTGATACCATCCACACCTGCCCTGTGAATGGTACATGCAGGCATTCGCCAGACACTGGGGTTAGAATGCCCAGCTGGGGTGAGTGGTGTCCAGGCCTCTGTCATTATGACTCTTGAGACCTGGAGGGGCCCAGAGCCCTCTCTCTGCGCACAGCTGCATTCTGCCCTTGGGCCAGGGTCCTAGTCATGACCTCTTGTGACACTGCTCCTCATCTCTTCTCCCCACAGCTCTGGGACATCAGGAGGAAGGGCTGCGTCTTCCGGTATAGGGTAAGGATGGCACCCTGTCAGTCTGTATGACTAGTATTCGGCATTTAGTGTGGGGTGGGGACTGCAGTCCATTGTGGGCGAGACATGGATTATGGTCTGGAGCGGACTGGGATGCTGTGGGTGGCCCATCCCAACCCCTTGGCTTTCCACCAGTCCCCGGATCATAACCGTGTTTATCCAACTGCTCTGCACTTGATTTTGCAGGCAGGTAACTGGCGTTAGGTGAGAGAGGTTCTGCTCACATGAGTTTAGCAGCACTGTGCTGAACCATTGCTTTTGGAGGTGTTCAGAGCCTCTGACATTAAAAGATGTCATTTAATTCTCCCAAAGGGGCCATAAAATACTTCCCAAATGGTATGATCATATTGTGTCCTGCAGGCTTGGGAGTCTGTGGCTACATGTGGAGAAATGTCCCTGTCTGACATCTCCCAGCTGGGGCTTCCTCTAAGCCTGTTCCCCAGGAAGGCACTGTCGAGCCTAGGGTAGAAGAGCTGGGGAGAGGCCTGCCTGGCCCAGGTCCCCGGGTGAGCTCCATGCACTGTCCTCCTTCCTCAGGGGCACACCCAGGCTGTGCGGTGTCTCCGCTTCAGCCCTGATGGGAAGTGGTTGGCGTCAGCCGCAGATGACCACACAGTGAAGGTAACTCCTGGCCAGATGTGGGTCTGGGGTCTGCCGATCACACGCTAGCTGAGTCCTCGCCTCCCTCCCGATGGGGCTCACATGCCCCAAGTCTGTCCAGGGTGAGAGGTTTGTGGACAAAGAGCTGGGGCCAGATTAGGAGAGTGGGAAGCCAGATGCCTTGTTTGTCCCTGACTGCCACCTGCCCCACCCCCAGCTCTGGGACCTGACTGCTGGCAAGATGATGTCCGAGTTCCCTGGTCACACGGGGCCTGTGAACGTGGTAGAGTTTCACCCCAACGAGTACCTCCTTGCTTCTGGCAGCTCCGACAGGTGAAGAGCTAGGCACATCTGGGACTGGTGTCCCACCCCATCTCTGTTCCGTCTCTCTGTCCCGAGATGCCATATGCCTGAGGAGCCCATGTAGACTGAATTGGCCAAGCCAGGATTGCTGCCTTTTCCCATCTCTCCCCCAACTGTAATTCCTGGATATGTTTTCACGGACAATGCAGGGTCTGAGGCCCCAGTGGATCCACCGAACGGGGAGGTCTGTGGCTACTAGAGCCCTGGGGGCAGGGCCTTTGGGCTCCGCCTCAGTCATGCTCACCCTCCCTCTGGCTGTGCAGGGCCAGACCCTACCACAGCCGAGACTCCTATTGGCCCTGGCCCCAGGGGCTAGGTATCTGGAGAGAAGCTGGCTTCTCAGGCCAGGGGCCTGTGTGGAGGCCTGATGGGCGCTGGCTTTTGGGCACAATGTAGCTCCCTTTGTAGGACGATCCGTTTTTGGGATCTGGAGAAGTTCCAGGTGGTGAGCTGCATTGAAGGAGAGCCAGGGCCTGTCAGGTACCAACAGCTGCATGAGTGGGCCCAGCCTTCCCCTCCCCTCCTCCAGGCAATAGGATGGGGGATGGAGGGACCTTTCCTGTCCCCGCTACTGCTTTCCCTTTGTCCTGTGCCCCCCTGATTTCTGGGGTGGCAACAGGCTAGGTACCCCAAGACCCACAGCCAACTCTCGCCTGGCCCAGGAGTGTCCTCTTCAACCCAGATGGCTGCTGCCTGTACAGTGGCTGCCAGGACTCACTCCGTGTCTATGGCTGGGAGCCCGAGCGCTGCTTTGATGTGGTCCTTGTCAACTGGGGCAAGGTGGCTGACCTGGCCATCTGCAATGACCAGCTGGTGAGACCAGGGCACCCACCACCCACCTCCCCTCAGGCCTGCTCCTTCCCACCTATCCTGCTAGGGCCTTCGCTCCAGGTCCAGCCCCAGCTCTTTCATTTCCCAGATAGGCGTGGCCTTCTCCCAAAGCAACGTCTCCTCCTACGTGGTGGACCTGACGCGAGTCACTAGGACAGGCACAGTGGCCCAGGACCCCGTGCAAGACAGCCGGCCCCTGACGGAGCAGTCACCCAACCCCAATGCCCCACTCCGGCGCATCTACGAGCGGCCCAGCACGACCTGCAGCAAGCCCCAGAGGTGGGGTGCTGGGGGCCTTGGAGGGCATGGGGGACCCAGGGGTGGGCCTGACCACAGCCTTTGATGCCAGGGTGAAGCACAACTCAGAGAGCGAGCGCCGCAGCCCCAGCAGCGATGACGACAGGGACGAACGTGAGTCCCAGGCTGAGATCCAGAATGCTGAGGACTACAATGAGATCTTCCAGCCCAAGAACAGCATCAGTGAGGCCACTCTCCACCCTGCAGCCCTGTGTCCCTGTCTCATGGCAGGGTCCTTCCCGGGGATGGCCTTGCTGTGGCCTTGCATTCCCTTAGCCACGTTCCCAACTCTGCCTGGGCCCAGCTTCTCTGCCCTTGTCCTATGGTCCTTGCTGGGCTATGCTCATGGACTGAGGGTGGAACCTGGACACACAGGCAGAGGTCAGCTGGACCCTCAAGTGCCACAACCCCTGCCCTGAGCAGAGGGGAGCCCACTGAGCGTGTGGGCTGGGAAGGACAGGGTTGAGGGCTCCTGGGTTCAGGAGCACGATCGCAGTGCTGGGGAAGCACCTTCCATGCCCACATACTAACTCACAGGCAGGATCCCTGAGTCCTCAGCATCATTTGTCCCTGCAGGTAGGACGCCACCCCGAAGAAGCGAGCCCTTCCCAGCACCCCCTGAAGACGGTGAGTCAGGCCAGAGCCTGGCCTCCAGGGACGCTGCTTCCCCAGTCTTCCCCTGTCCTGTTATGACCTCCAGCCTCTCCCCCCGCTGGATCTTGTCCCTCCACCTGCTTAAAACGCCTACTATGTCCTGGGTAAGGTCTCACTGACTAAGTGTAAGCAAAGTAGGCAGGTGCTCTCGGCCTATGCCTGCCTGAATGTGTGGGACAACAGCAGACAGATACCCACAGGTGTTCTGCCCTGGACACGAGAGGACAGTGGGGCCACTAGGGGCCACTGAAGATGGAGCTGGGGGTGGGTAAGAGGGCAGGGGCAGGTGACCCTCGCTGGAGACAAGGAGGCCCAGAAGGCCCTGGCTGGGAGTTTGGGATTTATAGTGGGAACATCTCAGGATGGAGAAAGGGCGTGGAGCGTTCTCCATAGCAACCCTGACCCCCACCTGACTTCTCCTTATGGGATCAACTGTCTTCTCATTTGCTTTCTTGGGGCTGGGTTTCCTAAAAGCCTCTCCCTCCTCCACTTCCAGTCTGCCATCTACCCACTAATGACCCCTCCCCACCCACACTCCATTCCTAGTGACAAGATGGCTCTGAAACTCCTGGGTCCCCAGACAACTACGGATGGCCCACTTCTGCCGTCTGCCTCTCCAGAACCCCAAGCTGCTGATGGTCTCCCCTCTCCAGTTCTCCCTGGGCTCCCTACTGTCTGCTGTTCCATCCCCAACTACAGATGTCACCCAGAGTCTTCCCAAGCCCTGCCCTCTTCCCGCCTGTCCCTTCTCCTGGCCTAACCCAATGATTTTTTTCTTTTGTACCCAGACGCAGCCACAGTGAAGGAGGCAGCAAAGCCCAGCCCAGCTATGGACGTGCAGTGCGCAATGCCAAACGTATGTCCAAGCAGAGGCCGTGGCATGGGGCTCGAGGGGCTGCAGGCCCCTCCCTTTTGGGAGGTGAGGGGAAGCCTCAGGCCTGCCGCCTGCTGAGCCTCTGCCCCCTCAGCTCGAGGTCCCAGTCCAGCCCCCAGTGCTGACATCCACGCCTACACCCAAGGGTGAGCCTGCCATCATCCCTGCCACTCGGAATGAGCCCATTGGCCTGAAGGTCTCTGACTTCTTGCCTGTGAGTGGGGACTCAGCCTGAGAGGGGCAGTGGTAACTGTGGGGTGAGGGCAGAGCTGTGCTGCCTGCTCCCATGCCAGCGCCTGGGCCGATCCCATAGGCTGTGAAGATCCCCCAGCAGGCAGAGCTGCTGGATGAAGACGCCATGTCACAGATCCGCAAAGGCCACGACACCATGTGCGTGGTGCTCACCAGCCGCCACAAGAACCTGGACACCGTGCGGGCTGTGTGGACCACAAGTGACATCAAGGCAAGTGCCCACCCCTGCCTGGGGCATAGCCACACTCCCCCCTCCACCTACTGCTCGGGTTTAGAGCTGAACTGAAAAGAGGCCATATGTGGGGTGGGTGAGCCCGGAGGTTGCACCATGGCCATTTCCTCCTGCATCGTCATCACTGGCTGCCATCAGGCCCCCACTGTCCCCACCCCCCGATGGTGCTCTGTTTGCAGACATCCGTAGACTCTGCTGTGGCCATCAACGACCTATCAGTGGTGGTGGATCTCCTGAACATAGTCAACCAGAAAGCGTGAGTGGCCGAGAGGGTTGGGGAGGGGTTGGGGCCGTGGAGCCGCCTGTCAGCGCCACGCCCGCCCGGCCTCTCCCCAGCTCCCTGTGGAAGCTGGACCTGTGCACCACCGTCCTGCCACAGATCGAGAAGCTTCTGCAGAGCAAGTATGAGAGGTAGGAAGGGAGGCCTGCTAAATGAGAGCTCTCCGGGGACTGGAAAGATCTCAGGGCCCTGGGAGGTGGCTGGGAAGCATTGCTGCCCTTCTACCCGCAGGGTGGTCAGAGTGGAAACAGGCCTGTGTGTGTGTGCCTTGTTCTCTGTCTGTCTGTCCCCAAAGCTATGTCCAGACAGGCTGCACTTCCCTGAAGCTGATCCTGCAGCGCTTCCTGCCCCTGATCACAGACATCCTTGCTGCCCCGCCCTCCGTGGGTGTTGATATCAGCCGTGAGGAGAGGTGAGAGCCAGGCTGGCTGGTGCCCAAACAGCTTAGAAAGCATATGTGTCATTTGAGGCCGGGGCCAGGGCATGGGATCGGCATAGCCAGAGCCTGGGTCCCTGCATGGGCTGGCTGCGCCCCCAAGCCTTGGGATGGCCAGGGGATCCTGGGCCAGTCTTCTTTGAGAAGGCGTAGAGTGGCTAGGACAGCAGAGGCCCCAGGGCTGCAGGGGTGGGGGTCATGGTGGGTGGGCATGCTGACCTCCTGAGTCCCTGCCCATCTGCCCCCAGGCTTCACAAGTGCCGGCTCTGCTACAAGCAGCTCAAGAGCATCACTGGCCTTGTCAGGAGCAAGTCCAGCCTGAGTGGCCGCCACGGTAGTGCCTTCCGGGAGCTGCACCTGCTCATGGCTGCTTTGGACTGAGGGATTCAGTGAGGGGCGCACCCAGCAGCCCTCAGGGCCTGGCCTCCCTCCTCTTCCCTGTGTGCCCACTGGCCCATGAGCCTCTGACTGTTCTCTACTGTTCCTGAGGCCATCCTGGAGGTGGCCGAGTGGGCCCTGACCGTGTTCATCCTTCAACAGCTGCCCTGCTTTGCCCAACTCTTGCTTCTTGGGGCAGCAAACACAGCCCCTGGGCTGCTGCTATAATTTATAGGCAGATTTTATTAAATTTGTAACTGTTCCCTGTTTCATTGTGTGAGGGTCATCCTCTGGCCATGCAGCTCACCTATCTATGGTGGCCTTCCCTGGTCTCTGCCCCTCCAAGCCCCAGAGATGGTGCGCTAGGCTATGTGGGCAGCAGGGGGCAGCAGAGTGACAGATGTGTCAGATGTGCCAGGTCAGCTCTGGGTATGAAGGGGAAGGTAGTAGGTCCCCAAGGCTATAGGAACAGATTAGGCCTTTATCCATCTCTGCCACCCTCTCAGCTGTCCTTGAGTCCCTGCAAGATGCCAGGACCCTAGCCTTGTAGGTATGGCCACGAGTAGACTAGCCCAGTGCTCCCAGAGGGAGGGCCAGAAGGGCAGCTTCATCTTCTGCTGAGGGTTCCAAACAGCTTCCGGGAGCCCCCTACACAGGTTCCCTAGGGCTGCACGGTGGTCAGGGTCCTGGGAGTGCCAGGAGGGCAGGGCTAATCTCTGGCCAGTTTAATCAAGACAGGACAGGCTGGGGCAGAAAGGGAGCAGAGGGTGGGTTGGAGCCCCAGCATGGTATGAGAGCCTCAGCAAGCCTTAGAGCTCTCTGGGACCTTAGTTTCCTATGACATGGAGGTGACACCATGGGACGAGCAGATACTGCAGTACACAGGTGCCTCATAAGGGTGACCGTGACCATAAACAGAAAAAGGCACTTCCCCTGGGGCATGGATAGGGATGGCTCCCGGGTCCCCCCAGTTCAGGATGTGTGTTTCTGACTGATGAGGGCGGGTGGAAAATGGGTGTGCAAATGCTCCTCTCCCTGTGATCCCACCATAACGCTCCTGAGACCAACATGCTCAGAGGACACTTGTGTAAAAAGGTTTTTATTTTAATAAAAATGGCTAAATTCCAAAAGTTCTTAAATAGGATTTCAGAGGGAGGAAAATGTCAGGAAGCCAGTGAGCAAGGAGAATACCTGGTGCCAGGCAGGTGAGGGGAAAGAACCTTGCCCACTGGCCTTTTCTGCCAGCCATAAATATAGCCCGGCCATGGCAGGTGGCCGGGCTCCTTTGTACATCTATGAGTACACTGTACCACTGTACACACCCCTGTGGGATGCCCCTCGATGCCCACTAAATCAGACCTGTACCGTGGAGCCCCTGTGCCTTCCCAGAGGCCTCTTGGGCCATGCACTAGAAGGGGGCTGCCGGGCCGGCCCTCTGGCTCAGGAAAGGAGCTGGGCCAGCCCAGCAAGAGGCCTGCCCTACCCATGAGGACCAGCTCTGATGCCCAGAGCCTGCCAGGCAGAATAGGCCATTCCTGCTATGCCACTTGGACCCAGAGCAACAGCCAAGACAGCACTTCCTTCTGAGTCTCTCATCTCTGCTGCAGAACAGGAGGGCCTCCACTTCCATCCCTGATGCTGCAGCAGGAGCAGGCCGACTCCAGGCCCAGTAGGGTGGCACATCCTTGTCCTTACACAGGCACCGGTCTCATTTTCCCTGTAGGGGAGGCAGAGGTCCTCAGCCATCTGCAGCCATGCTTAGGCCCTCAGCAGTGCAGAGGCAAGAGTAGCAGGGAGCCCAGCAGAAGCACATGGACAGCAGGCAGCAAAGCACAGGCCCAGCCTGAACAGCTGAACCTGTGTAGCCCTTCACCTGCAGGTGGGCGGCAGGCAGGCAGCTCTGGGCCGCTGGCCCCACACTCACCTGGAGACTGCAGCCCCAGCCGTCAGGCTGAAATCAAAGTGACAGGTGTCTCACTGGTGGGCTTGTCCTCTCCTGCTAGGGCCCTGCCACCCCCAACCCTCTGGACTTAAGGACTGGCCAGGCCCTTGCATGAGGGAAGCTCACTCCTCACGTGAAGTGAGCCCTGAGCTTTCTGCCCCTCATCCCACAAGAATACCAACATCAAGGCCCAGGGCAAAGAGGCCGCCTGCCTTGGAGGTGTTGTGCGAGAGCCAGGATGGCCTGCCTCCAAGGATCTTGACCTGGCGCCTTCTCTCCTGGGGCCTGGTTTTCCCATCTGTAAAATGGACACAGTGCTGCCTGCCCTGACTTTCCCAGGAGAGGGAAGGTGTGAGACTGGCTCTAAACGTTTTTATAAGCTTTGTAAAAAGGAAAGAAAAAGACCTTCCAGGTAAGGGAAACGCAGTGGCCATGGCAGTCACATGCAGAGAGCTCACCTGACGGCTGCAGCTTCCTCCGGATAGAGCCAGGACGGCTGGAGGTCCCAGAGCCAGGGGCTGAGTGCGCTCGAGCTGTTGGCTGTGGTGTCTGGCAAGTTGGCTCCAACTGTGAACAGGAAGAGGAGGTGGGCTGGGGGGCCACAGCAGAGCTGGCTCCTCCCCACCCCACACTGCGCTTCCTTCCATTCCCGAAATGGGAATGATGAAGGTGCTCCCACCTCACAGAGTCCGTGCAAGAGTTAAATGAGAATTTTTGTGGAGAATTAACTCCTGCTGTGAACTTGCCGTGTGCCAGGCCCAAGGACCAGCTGATGACCCACAAGTACCTCCGAGGCCAAGACAGACTTGGGGCCACAGGGTTTGGGTTCAGGTTTTAGCTCCACCCCTGGGGCAGCTTCCTTCCCCCTCTACCCCAGGCTGCCCCCACCACACGGCTCTCCCCATGCTGTGACCCACAAAGCTAGCCTGGGGCCAGCCTGAGATGGACCCGCAGTAGCTCCATACCTCCAGATGCTCCTGGCTCGACCAGGACCCGAGCTCTGTGCGGCGGGACCCGGGACCCAGCTCCACGGAGCGCACCCTCTCAGCGAACCTGAGGGAGTAGAGCGTCTCGCTGGTGTTCTTCTCCACAGGAGACACCTAGGGGACATGGGAGGTCACATCCCACCCAGGCCAGCTGGCTGCCTCCACAGCACTGGAGGGGACAGCACAGTTCCCAGAGGAAGCTCTGGTGGAGAGGAAAGCAGTGGAAGGTGGCAGAGGTGGCAGAAAGGTCAAGGGCACAGAGGGACTGGTGAGGTGCATCAAGTGCCGCACCTGAGGCCAGCTGTGTGTGCAGCTGATGCTGGAGCTGCCCCAATCAGGGTCCCTTCCCTGGCCTCCCCCAGGAAGCGCCCACAGCTGCACAACTTGGGGCAGGGACAGCCTCACCTGCACCACCATAAGTGTCTTGCTGTCGCCACTCAGCGAGTCCTGCAGCAGGTAGGTGAGCTTGGAGTTGCGGAAGGGCACATGGCCCTGGCGAGAGCGCAGGGCAGCAATGACGTCCCCCAGGGCCGACAGTGACTTGTTGATGTGCTGTGCCTCCCGCAGACGGCTGCCCTCAGCACCTGACTTGCCCACACGCTCTGAGCCAGCCAAATCCACCAGGTTCAGCTTCCCTGCAGGGAGGGTGACAAGGAGGTCAAGGCTGCCCTAGGAGGGGTCCCAGGGTCCCAAGCCCAGCTGCCGTCCCTCACTCACCCATGGTGCGGATGCCTGTGCTGCAATCCCGGCCCTGAACAGTCACGATGAGCAGGGCATGAGAGCGGGAACTGTGCTCGTTCAAGTTGGTGAACTCCGTGGTGCGATTCGCATAGCCGAACTCAAACACCTGTGTGGCAGGCAGAGCACAGGGTTAGAACTGGGGCTGTGGGGTCTCCTGTCCCAGAGCTCCCTGCCCGAGGGAGGCTGCACATACAGACATAGCAGACTGCTCTTGTGTCCCCTCCTGTCCTACTCTAGAGCAGTTCTGCTTGGGGTTGGAGTCAGAGTCTCCCTAGTTCCTCACCTTGTTGATGTCAGCCACGCTCTGCACCCGGAACCGGGTCAGCCCTGGCACATACAGTTGCCCACTGCCGTCTGGGCACAGCCGAATCTCCAGCTTCTCCTGAGGCTCTGTCCCCAGCAGGTCCCTGTAGGGCAGGCAGGAGAGTCACCCTCTCCTCCCACTTCTGGCCTCTGCTTGCACTGCACAGGCCTCCCAGCCTGGAACATTCTCACCACCCCTCACACACCTTTGGACATCAGGCTAAATCCACCTCCTCCGGCTCCTCCCCTACGCTCAGCCGGAAACAGAAGACTGACTATTCTAACACTCCTGTGAGACAGAGCCCACGGGCCACCTTCCTGCCACCCATTCACCACCTATCTGGTGCAGCTCACAGGTGGGGAGGGGGCTTCCTGGGCCTCTCAAGCAGCTCAGAGATCGACCTCCCAGGGAACATCTGGGCCCCAACCAAGGCTGTGGCGTGGGTGCATTTGAGTATGGCCCCTTCACGGTCTCATTGGGAACCCCAGAAAGACGCCACTGCCCAACCCTGTGGCCCCAGCCCTGCCCCCAGGGATCCCAAAGCAGCCAGGACAGCTCTCTTGGCAGCCCAGGCCCACCTGAGGATCTCATTATAGATCTCAGCAGCGCTGACGGTGATGGTATACTCCCAGTCGGATGCCTTTTCCCGAACCTCTGAGAAGAGCAGCTGCAGGGCCCGTTGGTTGATGCCTGGGTTCTCGGGGGTTCCCTGGGGGTGGATGACAAGGCGTCAGTGACCCTGCAGACACTTGCATGGCATCTGTCACCCCCAAGCCCATGGTTACCCCTCACAGGTGAGCCTCCCTGCCTGATGCTAGTCTGCCCCCCTCAGAACACCCTCCACCTACTGCAAAGCAAACAACTTTGCCTCTCTGGGCCTCAGTTTCCCTTCCTTTACAGCAGGATCACCCTGCCAGGATGGTCCTTAGATTCAAAGCAAAGGAATGAGGTGGTGGGGCTGGCACAGGCTGCACAAGGCTGCTGAGACCAGATGCACACCTGCCCTGCCAGGACCTGGTAGGGGCAGCAGAGCAGGAATGAGTGATTTCCCTCCCACTGCCCACGTGAGGCTCAACGTCAGGAGGCCATGAGTAGGGCTGTGTGGGTAGTGGACAGAAGGCAAAGCAGAGCAGGCAGTGGCCCCGGGGCCTTTATAGCAGGAAATCTGGAGTCCCTGTCTGGGCCCTGGAGGCTCTTGGGAAGTGTGGGGCTCACCTCCCACCCCTATTCCTGCTGAGAGGCTTCCTGCCAGGGCTCAAATGCGCCTGCTGACCTCAGCCTGCAGTTCCCTGTCAGAAGCAACCTCCCCAGACAGCAGAGGCTGGCTCCACGGCACCCTCAGGGGTCTGTCTGTTCCATGAGCCTCCTCAGGGAGGCTGCCCTGGACTTCCAGGTGCCCATGTTAGAGCTTCATCCTGGCTTTCCTACTCTCCTAGCACCTGATGGGCACCTGCTGATCTGCTGCCCTCAGTGCTGACTCCCTGGTGCCATTTGGGTTCTGAGGAGACCATGTACTGCCTAGTCACACTGGGGTCCCAGTGCCTAGCTGACACCTGACACACCTCAGGTCTCAGCAGAGAGCTCTAGGGATAAGTGCCATGGGGTCCCAGTGGTCACCTCAACTCTGTACAGCCCCAAGACACCTGGGAGCACAGGAGGCCCTCTGCACCCCCAGTCCCTCATTCTCAGCTCCCCTAGAACTAGGAAGACAGGGAGGCCCAGGTTGGGGGGAAGAGGGCTAATTTGTTGGGCTCCCAGAGAGTACACCAGCCCATCCAGACCTCTTACCACCCTGCCTAGGGGATTCCACACACCTTCTGAGGAGCCAGGGAAATTGCCCCCAAGGGCCAGCTTCCCTTTTTCTCTATCCACACTCAAGATTCTTCCTCATCTCATTTCTTGTCCTTGCTGCCTGCTCCATCACACTGTGCACAGGGGGCTGGCTACAGCAGGGAGATGTGGACCTGCCCTAAAAGCTGAGCTCCCCACATGTCATGATTTAAATATGACATGCTCCTGAAGGACACATGCATTGAGGGGTGGACCCCAGGCAGCAGTGTTCAGAGGTAGGGCCTGCAGAGGTGATCAGATGATGAGGGCTGTAACTCCATCTGTGGATAATCCGCTGAGATCTTACTTCAGTGGCATTATGGGAAGGTCATGGAAACAGGAAGTGCAGCCCTATGGAGGCGTGACCTCAGGGTCTATGTCTGGTCCCTGGCCCTTTCCTTTCTGGCTCTCTCTGCTTCCTGGCTGAATGAAGTGAGCAACTTTCCTCCTCCATGATATTTCTGCCTTGTTGCAGGCCCAATGGAGCCAGTTGCCTGCCTATGGGCTGAAACTGAGCCAAAATGAATCTTTCTTCCTTTAAATTGTTATTCTCAGCTACAAAAAGTTAACATACCACATTACATGGCCAGTCTCTCCTACTGCTCTGGCATCTCCTGAGGCTAGCACCCTACCTCATTCAACCTGGTAGCCCTGGGCCCAGACAGCCATGAAGCAGGAGGGAACTTTATATAGGTGGCATGACAACTCCATTCTGAGACATCATGGTGTCCTACCGTGGTCTGGCCCTGGGCCAAGAACTCCTTGACTGGGTGCTGCCCGGCATGCTTGTGCCTCTCCCCAGTACTACAGGGCCCACCGCAGTGCTCTCAAGCAAGGTGTCCCTCATAAGGCTGATGCCCGACCACCCACACATATCAACAGCCTCTGCTCCCAAAGCATGCACCATATAGAATCCCGAGACCCATGAGGGGAGCTCCAGTAGCAGCAGAAGGGGTGGCTTCACTCCTGAACCCCTCTTCCAACAATGGGCACCCACCTCCATCGTGTATGTCTTGCCGGCACCCGTCTGGCCATAGGCAAAGATGCAGACATTGAAGCCATCGATGCAGGAAGTGATCAAGGCCTGCACCTCCTGAAATACCTGGTGGGGTGCATGAGATAGGGAGTGAGGGGCTTCCAGGGGCCCCCACCAACTCTGCGCCCAGCCACCTGCCCTGCCCAGCCTCCTTCCCTGTTGAGCATCATGACTAATGAGTCATTGCCCTGGACCTTGTGACAACGGGACGGCCCATGCTGCCTGCATTCTCCCTCTCTTCCCCACTCTCAAGGCGGGCTTAGCAGAAAGAAGGCAGAGGCAGCCATGTGCTTGGCACCTCCTCTGGCCTGGGTCTGCCTGCCAGTGGACTGAGAGCAAGGCAATGCCGGGTCAGGCATGGAACAGGAGGGCACAGGCAGGACAGGCCTTGCAGGCTGGCCCTGGGCAGGCAAGAAAAGAGCAAAGCTGAGGGCCTGGCACTGGGGCTGGAGGTAGGGGTCATCCTAGCAATGACCATGGCACCACTACCAGTGCCACACAGCCAGCATGGCTGTGCCTTGGCCAGTAGTCCTGGCTGAGGCCACGTGTGTGGGAGGGCACAATCCTGAATGAGGTGGGCCTGGCATGGCCCATCCCTTTCTGAGGCAGGTCTCTGAGGCCTCTGTCCTAGCCCCACCCTCTCCTCTCTTCCAGTGGGAAGGAGAGAGGGACCACATTTCTCCTCCCCCAGACCCTGCTTGTCTTTGCCCAGCCCAACCCCTTCTCCATGAATCTTTCTCCCCCGGATGCACTCACGTCCTGCTGTGAGGCCTGCGGGGAGAAGACCTTATCCAGCTCAAAGGACACTGGCTTGCCCTTGTGCAGTAGGTGAATGATAGCGTCATCATCGGGATCAAAGGACACAACATTGGTCGCATCGGGTCCTTCCCCGTCCTCTTTGGTGATGGGCCGAACACGAGCAATCACCCGGATGTTTCCTGGATTGGTAGTGGATGGAAAGATGAGCCCAGGCTGAGTTAAGACCAGACAGCTTCTACTCTGGTGTCCTGGGCAGATTAGTGGCCTAGGAGTCCCCTACCTTTTAAGCCCCACAGGGCAAGGTGGCCCACAAAGCTGTTATTTATCACTCACACTGTAGTGTGAATTTACTTGGTACATTTCCTTCCTGAGGAAGGAAAATTGAGGGTGGAAGTTTTGCCATGGAGATAGGGAGAAGAGGTTAGTTGTGGAGCTCAGGTGCTGTGCTCGGTCTTGGTGAGACACCAAGGTGAACACTCTTTCTCTTTGGACTTCTGTTTCCTCAACTGCACAATCAGGAGCTTGGGCCTTGTGAGCCAAGGGACTTGTTCTATCATGAATGTCAGGACAGGGCTTGGGCACAAGATGGGCAAACAGGACCATCCAGACAGGGGATGGATGTCTGGCAGCATGTCTAATGGGCACAGCCACGGGGTATTTAGGGGTATAATCTGCTCATGCCACTCTCTCACCTCCTGCCATTTGTGGGTCCCTCTGCCCCTGAAAGAAAGGAAAGCCTCCTGCCCCACTACTGCCAGCCAGCCTGGCCCACCTCACTCCTTCCACTATCCACTCCAGCTCATGAGCCAGGTCTCAGCTCTGATGCTGCCTTGTCAGGAAGCCCCCCACTCCCTCTTTGGTGCTGTATCCAGGGGTTCCCAGGATCCCTCCCTGCTCTGGTAACAGGGTATGTTGAGTGAATGGTGACCACTGTCTGAAGTGAGCACACTGAGAGTCCGAACGGTGTTGGTGGGGCCATGGCCCAATGCCCAGTGTCTGGCCCAGCACCCAGCCCAGAGCAGGAGCTCCCTAGAACTTGGAGCAGCAAACAGTGAAGTCTCAAGCTTTACAAGGCCCAGGTCAGAACAGGTGGCATCCCAGCTGCCACCCCATGCCTCCGCCATGCAGGGCCTGGGAGCAACCTGCCCTGGGCATGGAGCTTCTGAGCTGGGCAGGTCCAAGTTCAAGTCCAAGGTGGACGATTTTCCAGCCCTGGGGCTTTAAACAAGTTCCCTGGCTTCTCTGAGCCTCCATCTATGATGCCTCTTTGGTGGCAGGGCACTGCTGCAAAGATGACCGCTGAGCTGGGTGAGGACCCTGTCCCGGAGCCTAACCCAGCCAACTACAGTCACCTTTCAGCCGCACAAGCTCGTTGTGGCACTTCTTGCGCAGCTGCAGCTCCCGGCGGTACTTGCGAAGCAGGTCATGGTTGTTGCTGTTGACCTCCTCAATGATCTGGTCAATCTGGTGGGGCACGTGCACTGCGTCAGGGGGGCTGGCTTCCTCAGGCCCACCAGACCAACTGCCACCCCATCACAGGTCAGATTTCCCTAGTAACCCCTCTGGGTACCATCCCCATTGTACAGATGAAGAAACTGAACCTCAGAGAGGTTAAGCCAATAGCTCAAGGTCACCCTGTGAATAAGCAAAGAGCCAGGACTGAGCTTTCACTTCTGGCACTATCACCTGACTCCAGGATTTAGCTGGAATCAAATTCTGCTGAGTAGCTGGGGACCTGAGAAAACTGGCTCAATGTCTTTGAGCCTTAGTTTTCTTATCTGTGCAATGGGGGAAGAACATCATCTAACTCAAGAATCTGTGGGAGATGATAGGTGAAGATCTCCATGTTACATTTCCCAGGGGAAAAAGGGCAAGATGGGGAACCACATGTCCAGGATGCCCCCTTTGTTGGGTAAAAGGGAAGTGTAAGTACTTGTCCACAGACAGCAATGGGCATAAGATGCTCTGCACTCTGGGGAAAATGTGGGGAGACCTCCCTAGCAGGAGGGTAATACATTGGCGGAGAAGCTGTTCCTTTCCTCACCCAACCCCACAGAGTTTGACCTCTCACTGTCTTCCATGCATTAACTTTTTCTCTTTTTTGGTGCTGTTAGGGCTGGAACCCAGAGCCTCACACTTGCTACACAAGTGCTTTATCACTGTGCTACACTCCCAGCCCTAACAATTTTTTTAAAGGAAAACTATTTTCTATTCCCAAAGCATATTAGTCTCTGCAGAGGTGTCATACAAATTTGAGGAGCCAACAGCTATAAAAGGCTCAGCATGTAGGAGGCACTTAAGAGACACTGGCTAGTCTCATACTGTACAAGCACAGCTTTAAAAAACTAACTTAGGAGCTGGAGGTGTAGCTCAGTGGTAGAGCACTTGCCTTGCATGTGCAAGGCCCTAGGTTCAATTCTCAGTCCCTCACACACAAACTAAACACATCAGATATAAGAATATGTGCAGCATGTTTGAGATATATATAACGTGTTTGCTTTAAATAATCACAATAAGACAAATACCCGCAAACCTGCCTGACCAGTCTACTGGTCTATTTTCAAACAGGGCCTGCAAGGTCACACGGGGGCGGGGGGGGGGGTTTGCTGTCCGCGAACTCTGAGTTTTGTAAGGGAGTCCTGGGTGGATGCTGTGTCTGCCAAGGTTCCTGGTCTCCACCAGCCCTGCCCTGGCTTCCCTTGCTCACCTCAGCCTTGGCGCTCTGGAGGGCCTCATCCAGCAGCATTGGGAAGTTGCGCACCTGCCGCTTAAGCCCATTGTAGTCATTGGTGAGGGTCCGCAGTGCTGGCTGCAACATCAGTAGGTTTGTCCGGACACCTATGGGGACACAAGGGGTGTGAGGTGGACACCATGTGAGGCTGGGGGATGGGACAGGCAGGGCCCAGGCAAAGGGCTCACCTGCCAGGTTCTCATGAACAGCCTTCATCTCCACCTGGGCTCTGGCAAAGGCCTCCTCAATGGCCCGGTTCTTGTCCTCCTCCATGGACTGCATCTCCTCCAGCATCTGCCCATGGGCCCGCTCCAGCTCTGTCTCATACATGGAGATCTGGCGGCCAAGCCAGGAGAAGGCTCAGGATGAACCGAAGCAGGTTCCAGGAAAGAAGCCCCAACCCTCACCTCAAAAGCACTTGAACACACACGCTGGAGAGAAGGATCTTATGGATTCTACCTGACAGGGGACTGGGAGCATGGTGCAGCTACCACCTCCCTACATTAGCCCCACTACCAACCTGGTCCCAGGCACATAACAGGTGCATGAGCCATGTGCCCCCCAGGGGGGTCAGAAAGTATCTGTTAGAAGGCTGGGAAGCAGCTGTGCTCACTGAGCACACCTGTGTGCTGGGCCCCGGGCAAAGAGCATCTCGTGACCTGTTCTGGAGTCCCCACTGTGAAGAGGGTTCTGTGACCAGATCACGTTGTAGATGACAAAATGGACAAAACTTGCTCTTGGCCACGTGAGCAGCAGAGATGGGACTAGACCCCCAATTACAGGGTCCCCAAAGGCTTAACCACAAGACATACTGAGGGGAAAGGGCACCCCACATGGCCCACACACCTGTGCCCGGAGCTGCGTGGTCAGCTGATTTGAGCTGTGAAGCTGCTGCTCCATCTCCTTCAGCACCTGCCGCTGCATGGCCACCTGCTCCTGCAGGTGCTGGTTCTGGGCCTGGGACTCACTGAGAGCCTGCTTGGTCTTGGACGACTCCACCTCCACTGTCTTGGTGACATACTGCAAGGTAAGGGGAGGTTGGGCATGTGGAGGCACATGGGATATGGCTGCACTGGGGATGGGTCCTCAGGGACTCCCACCCAGAGCCCCAGGGAGGGCTACAGGAGTTATAAGGTCCAGGCTTTGCAAACTGCTGGGATCAGTTCATCCTATGAGGGGCTACTGAGAGCCTGGCTGCAGTCCAGCCTGGGCACAGAACAGGTAAGACGGGAAAGATGAGGGCAGAATGTAGAAGCTGCATTGCATGTAGGCCAGGCACCCACTGGGCACCTCAAATCAAGCATTTATGGCTGGCTACCTACCCCACACCTGGGCTGCACCACGGGAGGGGAAAGGGCAACGCTGAGTACACAATTGAGGAATTCATGAATTCACCTGGACAAGCCTCTCTGCCAGATCGAGGGCTCATAACCGCCTGGTGGGTGGCTCACCTTGACAGGTGGAGACTGGGCCTGCAGGCTGGCAATGGTCTCATGGCTGTCTCGCAGGCGTCGGCTGAGCCGCTCTTCCTCCTGTGCCTTCTCAGCCAGGCAGTCTTTGAGCCGCAGCTCCACCTCAGCTAGCCGGTCGGTCTTCTGCTGCACCTCCAGGTTCAGCTCCGACAGCATGCCCTTGTTCTCCGCCACCTCCAGCTGCAACTGGGATACCTTGTGGCGGAGCTGGGTGCTCTCCTGTGGGTGGTCAGGGAACACAGGGGACAAATGGGCAGGGGTCTGTGAGGAGCTGGGGTGGCTGTGAGGCATGGAGCCCCTTCCCCAGGCCCACGGCTCACCTGGCTGTGCTTGCAGCCCAAGCAGGGTGTGGCTGCCGGCTGGGCACACAGCTCCTGCAGCTCAGCCTCGTAGCGCCCTAGCTCCTGCCTCAGCCGCTCATTCTCCACCATCAGTGGGTCCCGGCGCTGCTTCTCCAATTCAGTGCCTCCCTGTGGAGAGCCAGGGCACAGGGGGGGCATGTGGCAAGCGCAAGCCGCAAGCCGGGGTCAACAAAGGGGTAGGCAGCGTGTAAGGAAAGGCAAGGGAGAGGGGAGGAGAGGTGAGAAGCAAGGCAGAAAAGGAAAAGAAGAGAAGGAGAATGGCAAGCAAGCAAGGAAGAGAGAAGAGCAGGGCTCAAATCAAAGAGACACCGGAGAGGAGAGAGTGAGAGGTGAAGCCGGAGAGGCCCCCGCCCCGCTCTATTTCCTGAGTGTGAAAGTAACAAGAAGTCACATTGATGCAGACTTCACACTCCTACTCTATGTCAGCCAGAAGGGCCGGCCCCTCCCCTCAGGAGCTGCAGCAACTCCAAGAGGGCTAGCAGGGCACGCAGTCTGATAGGGTGGCCTTTGCTTGGGTGGGCTGGGAGATGGGGCTGCACCCCTGGGTGGAAGGGCACCCACTCCCCCTTAGGATGGCGTGTGGGGCCTCACCAGCTCGGATCGCAGGCGGGTCACTTCCTGGGCCTGGCTGACGAGCTTCTCCTTGAGATTTTCCACCTGTCAGCACAAAGCCAGGGCCATGGTGAGGCCGGTCCTCATCTCCAGCCTCCCAGGCCTCTTGCCTATACCTCTCATGACATGACGTTTGTTCTGGGCCCTCCGGCCTTTCGGCCTCAGGCCTTCCTGCATTCAGGCCTGGGCTCCAGGTGGCAGGAGGATAGGCTGCTCCTGACACCCTGCAGCACCCTCTCCTACCTGGTGCAGGTCCCAGCCAGTCTGGACTCCTCCTTTCTCAGCACCTGGGCCACCAGGGCAGCTCTGAGGCAGACTCAGACCACTCAGGCCACTCTGAGGCCCTGGATCTGCTTTCCTATCTATAATCTTATCTTAGCTTTCTTAAAAAGAACCCCAGATGGTATAAGCTCCAGGCCCAGGCTGGGGGGTATAGGTCAATGGTAGAGCGCTTGCCTAGTGTGTGAGAGACCCTGGGTTCTATCCCTAGCACCACAAATACAAATAATAAATTCCTGGTCCTGCAAGCCCTGAATCTGTCCTTGCCCAACTCCAGAACTTTTCCCTTTGGTTTCTGACATGAGCCTACCAAGCCGAGTTTGCCTCGGCAGCCGGAGCACATTTGGGACCTGTGTCCACTCCTACTCCCAATCTGCCTTGCAGGAGAGCTGTGGCTAGCCAAGGCTGTGAGAGAGAAGGGGGTGTACTTCATCCTAAGCAAGGGTGCCCAGAGAAGAGGGAGCCACTGTGATGCCAAGAGCAAGATCCCAGGACAATGACCCTTCCCAGGAACTGTCTGCCAGCCCACATCAGCCCACCCTCGGACCTCACCTTTCCCCAGAAAATAATCCAGGCAGACAGACCTCGACAGCCACATTCACTAGAGCTTGTCTGGGATTCCACAGAGCCCTCTGTGATGAGTACGTCACCTTGGAAAAGGCCCAAGGAGTCACACGTACTCTGGTGGCTTAGGGGGTTTACCTAAGTAGCAGAGCAGGCCCTGGGCCCCGATTCCGAAATGAAAGGTGACAACATCCATAGGCTACAGGTAAGACAGGGGAGCTATGCAGGACTAGATGCCCAAGTGCCACCCAAGGAGGCCACCATGATGTGCTCCAGAGGCCCTGACCAGGGGAATGCGTATCCAGCATCACCAAACTCATCTTTCAAGAGAGGCCAGATGCTTGGATGTCTTGAGGGAGTGTAGTTTCCCCTCTTTATACGGCTGAGATGTCATCAGACAAATATGTGGGTAGTGCTTGGCCTTGGTGGTCACTGTCCCCTGGAGCTGGAGGGGGCAGGTGCTGAACACCCCGGGCCTCCACTTCTCCAAGGAGGTCAGAAGTGAGCCATGGGGTCCACCCACATTCCCAAAATGGGCCAGAGATGCCAGGGCTGCTCGCTCAAGGCTGTGAGGGGAACTCAGGGCACAAGACCTAGCTGAGGGCTGACAAGGCCTCCAGGGGACAAGCTGGTGAGGTCACCTTTGTCACCACCTCAAGCTCTGCACTGGGCCACAGACTGAGCAAGGCAGTAATGCTTGTGTCACCTCTCTGCTGCTTGCTACGAGTCCAGAGAGGACTTGGTGTCCAATACCTCTGGTCAAAGGGCTCATTGTGGCCCCTTCCCCGACTCCCCTCCCTTTCCCACACCCCTCTGACACCTGTCCCATCACAGTGGATCGACATATTTAGTCAAAGGAAAAGCCAGGAAAAATATCTGCGTACAACACAAAGGAGAGGGTCTCTGGGCTGTAGCTTTCTAGCTGACAAATTCGACATGCTTTTCAGCAATATCTAAGTTTCAAAGCGTGTGTGATTCTCTCACATCACCTTCCCCTGAAGTAAGCAAGTCTGCTCCCCATCTAGGAAAAAGTCAGCCTCCCTCCCTCCCCAGCCTGCCTGCTGCCTCACCCCTCAGGGCTCTGACCTCAACTCCCACGGTCACTGGTCACCGTGCATCACTGCTGGACACCCAGACCCCAGGGAGGCATTGGAAGTGGGTGGTCAGTGCCTGCTGGGGGCTAGGACACCCCAGCCCCTGCCTGCAGTCATGTTCCAGTTCCCCTCCCACATCACAATGGGAACCTGGGAACCTGTGTGCCTGGGATTGTGGAGGAGTCCATGAGGGGGCCCAGGAGGTGGCTTTGAAGGGACAGGAGGTGGAGGGGAGTTGAGGAAGGGACTGTGAGAGACACCACACCCTAAGCCACTGCTGGGCTTGGGCAGCAGGCAGCAGAGCAGGGGGACCCAGCTGAGACACAGCAGACCGACCCCACGGGGCACCCTGGCCAACGTAGCCATGGCCCAAGCAGTCAGCACACATGACTCAACTACTCTCCGGCCCTACGGCCAGGCGCCATTCAGGGCTGGAAAAAATAAGAAATCACTGCCAGGAAAGGGACCCTTGTTCCCCAACCCCCAGGGCCGGCTTTGGGAGGGCTTGGGGGACGATGCCAAATTTTCTCCTGAATGAGAAGGCAGAGTAGGCAGGTCCAGCAGAGTTAAGGAAAGCAGGCAGAAGTGAGAAAAAACAGACATGGGGCTGGGAGTGGGGAGAGCACAGAGCAGGGAGTGAGAGGGGTCCTCCAGGGGAGGGTCTTGGGCCAGCACACAGTAGGTCTTCAATAAATACTTGAAGCAGCTGCAAAGGGACAGCACAAACATTCCTGAGCCAGAGAGACAGGATGCAGGAGAAAGCAGCCTCCAGACCAGGCCAAGGAAATGGTCCCAGGGTAGCATGGAGGTCAAGCCAGGGCTAGGTGGGGGCAACACCCCTCCCTGGCCCAAGCTTTTCACCAGCCAGAGAAACTGAGTCATGGTACAGGGCCCAACAGGGGTGGGGGGAGTGGGGGGATGCTGTCTGCTGAACTGACACAAACCTGCATTTACACATAGGCAGAACAGCAGGTGGGGCCGCCTGCTGGCTCTGTTTTCTCAGCTGTCTGCTCCTGCTGATTACCTCCCGGCCTCCCACCACGCTGGGCTGCCTAAGTCAGCCATCTTCCAGGCAAAGGGGGCTCCTCCCCTGGCATTGCTGATGGGGGAAGCCCTCGAGAAAACAAAGCCCGGGGATCCCCTGTTTTACAGCTGCCTCCCCAACCTGTCCCAACACATCTCCCACCCAGGAGGCCAAATCCTGGCCATGTAACCACTGGCCAGGCCCGTGTAGCCTGTCCACACGGTGTCTCTGCGGGGATGGCGGGGGAGGGGGGTGGCAAGACTAGCAGTTGGAAAAAACAGATGCCTAAACCAGATTCTAATTCAGACTTCACCTTACTCACCTTGGACAAGACTCCTGAGCTCTATACCTTTCAGTTTCATCATCTGTGTCAGAGGTGACCTCACTGAAGTTGTCTTAAGATTAAATGAAATAATAGATGTGAACTGCCACGGTGCTGCCCAGCACATATGTGCAGTTATGAATTGAATATCCCTTGCCCAAAATGCTTGGGACCATAGTGTTTCTGATTTTAGACTTTTTCAGATTTTGTAATATTTGGCTATATAAGTCCCACTCAGGGATGGAACTCCCAAGTCTAAACACAAAATTCAGTTATGTTTCATAACCTTTACATACATTGCCTGAAGATTACTCTTGCAGTCCTGGGGATCAAACCCAGAGTCTTGTGAATGCTAGGCAAGCACTCTAGCATGAGCTATGTTCCTACCTCTTTTAAAATTTTATTTTTATACAGGGTCTTCCTAAGTTGCTTTGGCTGGTCTTGAACTCATGGTCCTCCTGCCTCAGCCTCTTGATTGGTAGGATTGCAGAGTTCTACCACAATCCCCAGGCATAAGATAATTTTACACATTATTTAATTTTATTTATTTATTGGTACCAGAGATTGAACTCAGGACCTTGCACTTGCAAGGCAGGCACGGTGCCACTGAGCTAAATCCGCAGCCCTTTACCCATTATTTTAAATACTTTTGTGCATGAAATAAATATTTTTGTGCTCTCTGAGGCATCAGACTTGTGGTATCATGTCGACCCACAAAGTTTCAATTTGGGGCATTTTGTATTTTGGATTTTTGGGTTAGGGATATTCAACGTGTACCAGAATGAAAGGTCTGTGAAGGCAGAGACTTTTGTCTGCAGTGCTCAGCACTGAACTAACTCAACAGTGCCTGGCACATACTAGGTGCTCAGTAAATACATGCAGGATGAATGCTAAATAAACAAGAGGCAGGTAGCACAGGCTCTGTGGGTGAGGCTGCTAAGAGTGGAGGCTGCTGGGCTGGGCTGAGGGGCCCAGAAGGATTCTCACTTGGAACTGTGGGCAGTGGCTGCCACATGGGAATGTTGGCCCAGGGGAGCTGCAGCTTCCAATTTTTTTTTTCCGCTTCCAAGTTTTATGACAAAAACAAAGCCTAGATTTCTATGTAAACTAAGATTTAAATATTTGCAATGAATTTTGATTAAAACAGTGAAGCCAATGAGAAAACAGAGCTTGTGGGGGTGACACCCACAAGGTACCGTACTTCACCGTCCATTTTTCTGTCCACTCTCACAATGGATCCATCCAATGACTACAGAGCCAGTTTGGAGACAGAGAACCAGAGCTCACAGAGGAGTTCACTTCCTACTGTGGCACGGCTGGTAAGAGGCACAGCTGGGAATAGAACTGAGCTCCCAGGATTCCAAATCCAAAACTTCCAGGTGATGGTGGCAACACCGGTAACCTGCCGGGGATCATTTCATCCAGAACTGTTATGACTGCTTTACAGATGAGAAAACTGAGGTACAGAGTGGTAGGTAACTAGCCCCACACACAGCCAATGGCAGTGCCAAAGTCAGGGTTTGATCCCAGCCTGAGGCCTGTCCCCACAGGGTCAGACCCTCCAGAGAGCTGCGAAGAGACAAAAGTCTCTGCCTTCACAGACCTTTCATTCACACACATCTCCCAAGAAAGTTCCAGAAAAAGAGTTTGCAGGCAGGAAGTGCACAGGCCCATTCAGACCTCCCACATCATCTGGGGAGCAGGGCAGGCTGGGCTTTCCTGAGGAGACTAAGGGGTAGGGCTCAAAGACAACTAAGTAGATCTTGACAATTAAAGGGAAAAAAAAGTTGTTAAAACCCATTTAGCCAGGTATGATGATGTCTGCTACTTAGGAGGCTGAGGCAGGAAGAACAAAAGTTTGAAGGTAGTCTGAGTAACTTGGCAAGACCCTGTCTCGAAATAAAAATTAAAAAGGGCTGGAGTTGCATTTGTCCTTTGTTGCTTGCTGCTTGCTGCTTTCTGCCTACCATGAACTCTGCAATACCCCTCTGCCATGCCACCCTGCCTTGGAGCCAGACAGCTATGGACTGAAACCTCTACAAACTGTGAGACAAAATAAACCTTTCCTCCTTTAACTTTGGGTGTTGGGTGTTTTGGCACAGCAACAACAACAAAAAAGGTAATTAAGACAATCACCTCAAGTTTGAGGGCAGCCTGGATTATGTAGTGAATTCAAGGCCAGCCTGAGCTACATAGTGAGATCCTGTCTCAATCAATCAAGCACATCGCACACACACTTAAAACCATGGAATTGACCAACTTTAAGCATAAATTTTAAGGTTTATAAACTCTATCTCAATGAAACTAATAGAGAAAGAGAGAGGGAAACTGAGATTGAAAAGTAAAGAGCCACCAAGGGTAGCCTTGACTGGAGGAGCCATTGCTGCTGCTGAGCTCTGGCCTTGGGCAAGATGTGTATCATGCAGGTTGGGCCCTGAACCAACCACAGCCCCCAAGGCTGTCCTGGAGTCCAGTCCTTCCACTGCCACAGTCCCTTTGCACGGGCTGCCCCTCAGCTCAGAATGCTCTGTGCCAGACCTCAGCTCCAGCCCTCCACCAGGGCATCACATCCCCCGACGTGCATGTCTTCCCTGCAGAGCCCTGTCAGTCTGCCCACTTTACATGGACACAGCAAATGTCCACCTTCCCCAGACTCAAGCCTCTGGGTGAAGGAGCTTGCAAGTCTACCTGGGCATCCCCCGTGCCCAGATCAAGAGGCTCCTGCAAACACAAGGAAGGAGACAGGCGAGCAGCAGGTGAACAGACACAGAGCTGCCTGGGAAGAGCTGCTGCTACGGAGTAGACAGACCCAGAGACTAAAGCAACGGGCAGAGGATGTAAGAGACACAGCACAGGGGAACACCCCAAGGAGGCCTGCCCAAGTCAGCAAGGGGTGGGGGCAGGACAGAGTGCTCTGGAAAGGAGCCAGAAGAAATGCTGCTGACTCGAGGTGCAAGCAAACAACCTGCTCCCCAGAACTGAGGCCAGGTCCCAGCCCTGGTGACTTCCTTCCAGCAGATGGGACACACATTTAAGTCAACTCTGGGCTGGCTCGAGTGACAGAGGAAGAGTGTGCCCCACCTGAAGGCAGGGCTGTCATCAGAGAGCCTGGCTGAGAACTCAGGGACCCTATGTGGGGATGATGTGGCACATGGAGCTGGGGACCCTGGGCAAGTGGCAAGGGTCAGACAGCCGCAGAGACAGGGAACAACCATGCGAGTGAGGAGCAGAGCCTGGGGGCTTCATGGAGACAGAAAGAGAAGAGTGAAGCAGCCAGGCACACAGAGGAGGGCCAGTGTCAGCCCCATGGGGTGTGAAGTTCCCAGCTCAGGGTCTCCAAACTCCTCCTGGACAGCTGACAAGGGAGACGGTACTCCTGGCATAAACTTAGGGAGCTCTGCCTCATTTCTGGGTATTTGGCAGCATCCTCCTCCCACACGTGGTCATTGGCCTGCACCTTTCCTGAGACTCAAGCTCTTGGTTCCTGGGGCGCTGTGCATGTGGGGTGACTGACTGCAGTGGTTTTGTCCCCTCGGGCTGCCTGCCCTTTCTTCCACTGTGGAAGAAAGGGTGGACTGAGCACAGGCCTCAGAGCACAAGTGTCCCTGTCCCCTAGCAAGAAGATGATCAGAAGGAATCCCAGGGCCTCTGATTTACTCCACCTCTTTCTCTAGCATCTTCCCAAGCCAGGAGAGGAGACTCCATTTTCTCCTATGCCATTGACCTGGTGGCGTCCAGGTGTCCCTGCAATGTCCTCTGATCTGCTCCACAGTGGTCAGTGGTCTCTGCCCATCCCTACCTCCCCAGATACCTGGTTTTGCAGCTGGGTGGTTGTGGTTTGCTGGTCACTGTCGTGGAGGGCCAGCCTCTCCCGTAGGACTGCCAGCTCCTCCTGAAGCTGAGCTTTCTCCTTCTGAAGCTGGGACATGGCCTCCACCATCCTATGCACCTCAGGGGCCGCCCCTGGCGACCCTGGCAGGCTCGAGCACCTCCCTTTGCCAAAGAGCCGCCCACCTACAAGCAAAGTAGTGGCTGATCAGCAGGGATGTGGAGGTCCTGCTGGCAGAGGAGGGGCCAGCGTGGCAGGACAGACCATTGCAATGGGAATGGGGTGCAGGCAGGTAGGGGTGGGTGAGGGCTGGAGGCAGTGGCAGCACGGGTCTCCGGGGGGGACTTCAGCAGGCAGTTTCTGGGGGATGGGATTGCCCGGGCCAAAGCTTAGGAAAGCAATTACTGCTGACTGCTCTCAAAGCACATATTCCATGCCTGAAGGTCAAGCCCCTCTCTGTGGCTCACAGGCCATTGACACAAAAAAGACAGATTTTTCACCCTAGAAACACTGTGCTTGGGGGAAATGACTGCTTTCAACTTCAAGCTCTTTCAAGGTACAGAAGAGAGGAGTAGGGTCCTCAGCTGTCCCTGCAAGAAGTGGTCACCTGTGCACAGAGTGGGGCAAGAGGAGTATGTGCAAGTGCAACAGACCAGGACACGGGCAGACCAGCACATGGGGCAGGGGCAGCCAGGCCAGCACTGAGGGTGACACCTGCACATGGGGACCACACCAGCACAAGAAAGGGACAAGTACCAAGCTGGACAGGGCCTTGGCCTGAGTCCTCCTCCTCCCACGGCCTTCCACTGTCCTGTCACCAGGAGCAAAAGAGAGACAAACAGACATGGAATTGAGGCCCATACCTGCTAACGAGGCCTGGGGTGCTTGTCACAGCTCGCTGCCAGAGCACCAAGACTGAGCATGGTCTCCGCAGGCAGGAGCTGGCCAGTGGGTCAGGGGACAAAAGGACAAAGGACAGAGGAGGATGGGGGGGGCTCCTCCCTTCAGTGGCCCAAACAGAGACGGTAGAGTGTCCAAGAGCAAAGAGGCCAGGTCTTGACCAACAAATTTTCCCACCTGGCCTTGAGGCCAGGGCTTCTAGGCTTTCTCAGGGGTGAGGGGCTCCCAGACTCTGTGACTGAAGCCACCTGCACCTGACAGGTCAGCAGCTTGGACCAAAAGGCAAAGAGGCCCTCAGGGCTCTACAAAGGAGACTGGAGGTGCAGGAGAGGGGAGCAGGGAGGTTGCGGTTGTCTTGGGCACGGGCAGGACTATTTCAGAACTGGCCCCAGAGCATGGATGGGGAGGATGGTCTGCCTAGAGAGAACCAGAACACTCTCGGCCAGCTTTCCTTCCTTCCAGAGAGCCGGGGCTGGGCAATCCCTGCTTGGACAGTGGCCCTGGCTCTGAGGCCTGCATGTGACACAGCGTGCAAGTCACACAGAGCTGCCCGAGCTTCTGTGACCTGTTCTAGAAAGAGTGAGGGCAGACAGAGGCTTCCAGGCCCTCACATGGGGCTGCCATGGGTGGCATGTGACCCTGGTGGCCCTCTGCCCTGGCTGACTGCTGTCGTGCAGGAGGTAGGGCACTGGACTCCAGCTGGGGAGCTGGTTCTGCCACTTGAGAGGTGCGTGGGAGGGGCCCCCCAGGGTCTTCCTAGGTGAATGGGGACAGTGTGCCAAGCCCAGAAAGCAGGCTTGAAAGGAGCCTGGAGCCCTGGGGGTCTGTGATGTGGGTGACTGTTACAGCCCACGGGGCTGAAATGAGGCCTCAGAGAGCCCTGTCACCCAGACGTTGTTCTGTCAACAAATGCCTGAAACACCAGGCCCTGGGCTCGTTCTGGGGGCTGCAAAGCCTGGGGAGCCCCAGACGGAGAAAAAAGGTCTCAGAGAAGCTAAGCGACAGTGGAAGAAGGGAAGAAGCGAGGAGGAGGTGAGAGCACAGGGCCACCTGGAAGATCCTTTCACAGGTGCCACCCATCACAGGACCGGGGCTCAGGGACCGTGGGAGCCTGGCCTACAGGCAAGAGCCAGTCCTCAGCCCAGCAGGACCTGGCCTTCTTCTTCTCAGCACCTCTGCTACCCTGGAAGGGAAGCCTGCCTCACTGGCTGCATGATGTTCCCTCCCAAAGCCTGCTGCCCATACTTCAGCCAGATCCCACATCTGGGAACCCGGCTCTGGCATAACCTCAAAGAAGGGCGGACTCCTGCCAGACCCCAGCAAGTTCAGACACACAGATTAACCTTCAGCCACAGGATGAAGGAAACAACAGGAAGTCCAGGGCCCTTTCCTCTGGGCTTCCCCTTGGACTCTTGTGGATGCTCTTTCCTGGTTCTCTATGTGCTTGGGCTTGCTGCTAGGACCCCTGGCATAGGCTGTGAGACTACAAAAGGAGCCTGGAGAATCTTCCAGAACCATCCTTTCTGGGGAAGAACGGAGCTGCCAGCTCCATTCTCTCAGCCTAGAGGCTAGAGAATCCAATCCCTGTCTTGGGAGCCTTAGACCCCCACGGGCCCAGGTTAGAGGGGAAGGAGCCAGGCCTCTCAGCAGGCAGTGGCGTCTGGGAGGCTGCCACCTGTGCCCTGCTTTTGACAGGTGCCTGGAAAAGACAAAAAGCAGGGAAATTCAACCCTAGCCCCCGCTGGCCAAGGCCTCTTATCACTGGGGAGAAGCAAGGGACAGGGGACACAGTCCCTGGATCCGGGAGAAGCAGGCTAGAGTCTCGGAGTTCCACTCTGTGTCAAGTAAGGTGGCCAAAGTCTGCCTTAGCCACCCTGGGGGGTGGAAGGGAGAGGTGTGGGGACATCTCGAACTCCACAAGAGCCTCCCTCCTGTGCTAGTTTTGCCAGGGTGTTGTTCCAGGTCAGCAGGCAGCCCTCCTTTACCTGTTTTCTCTACATTCGTGGCAGCACCAGCTTTCAGGGCCTCTCGGTCCCGCCTGGGGACCAGCGCCTGCCTCTTCGGGAGATTGTCTTCTTTCGTCCCCTGACTCTTGCTCTTGCACCCCTTGTCCTGCAGGGCTTGCTGCCAAGACACAACCAGAATCCTCACATGAAGGGGCTGTGCCAGGGAGGGACCTTGGGACTGGGGATGGTGCACTCTGGAGCTGCTGTGGTCCTCAGGCCAGTGGGTCGAGCCCTCACTGTGCAGGTGGGGGACAATGAGGCCTGGGTAAAAGGAAGTGGCCTGAGATCCCACAGCAAGACAGTGGCAGTACATACTCCTGCCACAGGTCTCTGTACTAGCAAAGAAGGTTCTCGGACCTGAAGTCCTCAGGTCAAGCTTGGGCCAGCCCTGGAGGCTCGCTGGGTACAAATCACCAGCCAGTACCCTGCAGGTCCCATTGACCACAGGGAGCTATCCAACCCCACCACACGCACCTCCACCTCAGGGCAACCACCCCATGCCATGACCTGCTGCCACCCCGACAAACAGCCTCCCCCCTCCAGATGGCACCCTGAGGACTAGGAGGCTGCGCCCAAGTCCAGCTAAGCAGGGGAAGGGCACCCCTGCCTCCTCCACTCTCCCCACCCCATGTGGCTCTCTAGGGACCATGGGACCCCCGCCTCCAGATCAAGGAGGTTTGGAGACAAAGGAAGTGGGAACACAGCAGACCATTGGATGGGCAGGAGGGGAGTGAAAGGAAGAGGAGAAAGAAGTGCCAATGAGCCACATAGGAAGATGCAGAACCATGTGGAAGTGTGACCCATTTGAGAGCGGTAAACATGTAACAGGTATAGAAAACAATCTAGAGAAATAGAAGGATGGTGGCTCTCTATGGGAGGCTGTGGTGCTGGGCAGTGACTAAGTAGAAGCAGGCATCATTTAAGCTTTTGAAGAATAAAAAGAAACTTCACCATGGGAAGGAGGAAGGGAAAGGAGGTGGCTGTCCAGTTCACTCTGAGTATGTCTGGCATTTGAAGTTTTCACCTTGTAAACATCTACAGCATTTTGTTTGTTTCTTAACATCAATAGGGGTATCTGGGAAGCGAGATCACAGAAGCACATGTATGTCTTTGAGCTCTCTATATTCAAAACAGACAAATGGTATGTTTTAAAAAGTCTGGCCAGACGTGGTGGTGCATGCCTATAATCCTAGCATGCAGGAGGCCGAGGCAAGAGGATTTCCACAAGTTCAAGGCTAGCCTGGGCTATATATTGAGTTCAAAGCCAGGGTGAACTGCGCTGTGAGACCCTATCTCACAAAACAAAACAGAACAAAATTAAAAAAAAAACAGTCTGCAATGGGCAAGGCCTGGGTGGACCACCTGTTGTTACCTGTGTGCGGTGGGGCTGTAAGTTACAGTTGTACTTACCTTCCCTCAAGCCCCATTTCTCTCCTTAAATTAGAAAGGATAATAACAGCGCCCCTAGCGCTTGTGTGGCACAACTGCGGCAGTAAAGCAAAACAGATTGGTCCACAGTAACAGCACAACATAGGGCAGCTGTGATTACTATTTCTGTAACTCCTTTTTTTTTTTTTTTTTTTTTAACTTTGATCATCAAAAAGCCAGTAAAAAGAACTGGGAAAGAAGAGGAAAGTCGACCTCAGCAGGGTCCTTAGTTTGCCATCCACTCTCACTCATGTCCTCTCGATTCCAAGCTGGGAAGCAAAGCCCTTGTAGTTTGGAAGATTCCCGCTGACTTAATTTTGTCTCCACCCTTTGACCAACTGCCACACCATCACGAGCAGGTTTGTTGGCAATGGCAGCGACAGCAACAGCTGGAAGTTCCCATTTGTCGACCAGAGCAAAGTTTACACTATTTCTGGCCTGTTGGCCAAGGCACAGGAAGGCAGACAGCCTGGGGCTGGGATTTTTGTAGCACCTCTGAGGGTGTCTTGGAGGCTGGGGGTCCCTAAGCCTATGGGCTGCTCTGCTGTGACTGCGACCCACTCCGGCCCCACATTCACAACCCTGACGTGATAAAGCTCTACGGGGCCCCAGAGGGAAGTGAACAGCGTGGAGGTTGGAGGCCGGCTGAAGCTTCTGAGAGCCTCAGCAGATCTTTGACCCCAGGCCTCGGAAGTACACCCCAACACCCCATAATCAAAGCTCAAGAGCACAGCACCACCCAACTGGAGGCCTTCATTCCCGACCACAGCCTCCCAATTTAAATACCAGTGGTCCAAGTCAGGGCAAAGACTAGCTCTCTGGTTTCTTTAACTGTTCTCTGACCAGACTGGCTTTCCTGCAGTCCTTACAGATAAAAGGACCATCTGGTTTAGTTTTCTGATGAATCTTGTGAGAAGGGCTAGGAAACACCATGGGACACAAGCCTGCCCCTAAAGCAACATCATCCTTGGGCTCCTACTCAAATCAGGGGTTGGGGTCACATGGTGCCCAGCCCAGGGCTTTTGTCCATACTGGAGAGGATTCATTGCAAGGGTATGTGCTACCCAGCCCTCTCTTGCCCATGGTCTGTACATAGCTCCTTCAAGGCTCTATGCACATGCAGCTTCTGGGAAGAGGAGAATCTCTCCATGTGGATGTCAGAAGAGCATGAGGAAGGATTTGAGGGGTGGGGCTGTCAGGCACACCCTTTCCTAGGGCCTCAACAACACAACCCAGTACTTCATCCTCTGCCCCTGCATTTATGGCTCTTATCTGGTTTGCATTCATGATCATTACCTGACTCTGGCATCCCTGCTGGACTGTCAAATGTTTATTCTCTTCCCTGTATCCCTGTACCTAGCACACACTGGTGCATAGTAGGCCTTTCATATGTAACTCTTCAATGAATATATGGATTAAAAATGGGCAGAGCTCATGATGCTCTGGAAATTACTCAAAGCCAGAGGTGTACAAATACTTAAGGGGTTCACCATAATCAGAAACAATACAGAGAAGAAGGTAGAGGGGGGAAAAAAATCTATATACTGATATATAGTGGTACTGGGAATTGAACCCAGGGCCTCAAACGTGCTAGGCAAGAGCTCTACCACTGAGCTACACCCCCTAGACCAATAATAACCTATGGTAAAACCTCAAGTAGAGTATTATGAAGTAGTTTAAAAGAATAGGGAGTTCTCTATATACTGACAGGCTATAAATATAAGCAGTTACATAGGAACAATAAATGAGTAAGCACCAAGTACATCACAGTAGATTTCTCAAGACAGGGGATCACGAGAGGCATTCAGTTTCAAGTACTGAGTAGAATTGCACAATGTGAATTCTTTACATCATGTATTACAAAGTTAGCTGTGCTCAGTGGTTCATACCCCAGCTTACTTTGTGACCAGCAACGAATTATTTAACCTCTCTGAATCTGTATGCTCTCATCTCTAAACCTCAGATAAAACAGTAACTATCTTGAGATAGTTACGAGGATTATATGAGAATATGAGATACACAATCCCTATGTTCAGGAACAATGTTTAACAAACACTAACCACTATACTGCTATCTTTATGTACTATTTCTATAATCAAATTCACACATATATGTAAAGTTTGCCTTTTAAAAATCAGTGGTAATGGTAGGAGGGAAAAATCCCAAGATTTGGTGAAGCCCCTTACCTAGCTTTGGATTTGCACTTCAAACAAGGAAATATAAGTATGGTCCCTAGTCTCACACCTGAGTGGAAATAAACAGCTACCCAAAGCCAACTTGTCTTCCCAATACTCCAGGCCCTGCTCATTTCAGTAAAGGCCCCATATTTTCTGCTTCAACACTTCAACACCTCAGCCAGGGAGTGGCCAAAAAGCTTGTCACCTCCCATGAGATCTTCCCTGAGATACCGTACAAGCAAACTGCCCCATCCAAGCAGGCTCAGGACCAGACGGGCTGTGAGGAGCGGGGCAGAGAGTTGCAAGGCAGGTCTGAAGAACCCTGTCCCGGACCCAGCTGCTGGAGCTCAGAGGACTAAAGGGCACCCTGCCCCACTCACCCGCCTTGTCTTGCTGAAGGCCCAGTGCTTACCCGCACGGTCAGGTAGAGCCTGCGGGGACTCCCAGGGCCTGCCCAGTCCCCGCTGAGGGTTCGGCACTGTCCTAGGGCCGGGCGAGCTGCAATTCGGGCACTGGAGTCCTCGTCACTGCCAACCACTGTGTCTTTTCCACGCCCTGTCCCAGGACAGAGAGATAAGTGAGACGGTCAAAGCACTGGCCACAGACCACTGGTCAGGGCCTCGGCTGGGCTCAGTTTTCACACCCTCCCCAGGCGTGACCAGGAGCGCCTCACACGCCCTCACACCCCTGCCTTGAGTGCAAGAAAGGCCTGGCGGGGACAAGCACTGCCCTTTCTTACCAAAAGCAACCCAGATTCTCTTCTGAAGGGGCACACAAGACCTTGCAGGGGGATCCCATCTCTGCACAGTGGCTTTGGGGACCCACTCTTGCTCTCTCTAGAGACAGCAGCATAAAGAAGCTGACACCACCCTGGGAGGTGCACCCCAGGGCTGTGGCTTCATTACCCAGGCTGCCTCTAGCTGGCAATTTCTGCCCTGCCTTCATTAAGGCCAAACCCACAGTGGGTGGCCTGGTCTGTGCTGTCCCCCAAAGCATCCTTAGGACCAGAAAAAGAGCATCCCCTTGGGCTCTGACACAGAGCCCTGCTGACTGGGCAAACCTCCTCCCCATCTACCCCTCCACCACAGCCTGTGGGACCAACAGGTTGGCAAACTGTGGACTCCCTGCCCCGGGACTCGATCCCATCTGACTGTAGCCACTGGGCAAATGCTTCCCAGGTCCTTCCAACCCTCAGTTTGCTTGTCAGTAAAATGGGGGGGGGCGGGGGGCAGGGAACAAGCCAACCCTAAAGTCGTGTGGTGAGGATCAGAAAAGAGGAGGCATATTAAGTTGCCTACAAGATACTAAACATACAGGAAGTGCCCCCACATACAGGCCCTGATGATCAAAGTTGCCCCGGGCTCTGCATAACCCCAGGGGAAGAACTGCCAGTCCAGAATGGTTAAGGATGTGCCTGGGGTCACACAGAGCCAGTATTCAAGGCCCTGGGGCTGACCCACCCACTGCCTTTGACCCCCTAGGGTGGGGGTGGGGGGCCTGAAGGGGTCGGTGAGGGCACTCAGAGAGGCCAGGGATGAGACCCTCCCCAGCGGCAGACGCCTGCCTTTCACAGTTTATCTGACCCATGTCAAACTTTTAAGTACATTAATGTCTGTGTGGTCATAATATTCATTTTAAAGACCTACACAGATGCACACACAAAATTGTAAGGAGCTATACAAAATGCTGACCTTTTTTTTTCCCTGTGGTTTTTTTTGTTGTTGTTCTTTTCAAATTTTTTTTTAGGTTTTCCAAGGAAAAATGTTCTTATTTTCCTTCTCTCTCTCTTTTAACCAGAAAGGTCACACTCGTTCACATTACAGTTATAATTCTCTGGACAACCTGGTGGGGTGGACCCCATATTCTGCCCTTTTCAAACAGCTGGGTCTGCCTGACCCCCAGCTTTTCCTGGGGACCCCCAGGGTCATTCCCAGCCTGGCCCTACTGTTGAGGAGCAGCCAGCCCTAGGGAACCACAGAAGCGGGGAGACCTTGGAAGGCATTGCTCTGGCTTCTCTGACACCACAAATGCAGTGGTGGTGGAAGAGGGGTGAACAGGAACTTGCTATGTGCCCTCTCTGGGCCTCAGTGTCCCTTCTGTCCAAGGAGAGGCTTGAAGAACAGGCTGGAAAGCTAAACCCGTCCCTGCAGGTCAGCAGCGACAGACAGCAGATTCCTGAAGGGATCTCACTGGAAAGCCCTGTCCCCCCACTCGGTCCCTGGGACTTGCCCCCAGGAAACTCAGCAAGGGGCCACAGGGGGCTCTCCAGCCCCAACAGTCCAGCTTCCACCCGGAATCAGGGGAGCCGCTCACTCCTTGACGTCCCTTTACCAGGGGACATGACCCAGAAAGTCCAATTGGCACCGACAGCTCCCCAGGGGACACCAGGGGCCCAGACTCCAGGACCCTTTCCCCTGCACACCTGCTATGGGGATCTCTACAGAAGCCACCAGGGCGACACCTAAAACTGAGCTCATAGCACCCAAAGCCAGCCAGGCCACGCTCCGAGCAGTCTCACTGTGCTCCTCAAGCCCGTCCAGGGCGAGTCCAGGCGGGATCAAGTGTCAGCGCCATGCCCAGCGCCCAGCGCTTCACCTACCTTGTTTACAGCCGTGGGCGGGCACCAGAGAGAGCCCCCAGATGTGTGCCGGGCAGACCGCAGAACCCCAACCCGGCAGGGTCAGCGAGAACGTGGTCGACTCTCCCTGCTCCCTGAACTGTTAAAGTTTAACCCACACCGGAGCCTCCTCCTGCGAGATTGACTGAAGCTCCCTGCCCGCCTGGGCGCTGCGCTGCCTGCTGCTACCCTGTAATTACCTGACAGCTCGGACTGAGTTTAGGAACCACGAGAAACCTCAGTCTCATCTCTGGTATCTGGAGGAAGGAAAGGAAATAAAGAGGCATTTTAAAAATGCGGACTCACCAGTTCTCAACCTCCCCGAGCCGGTGTGTGAGAAAGGGCGGGCAGCCGGGCTGGCTGGGGCTGGGGCGGGGCGAGCCATCTTGGGCTCTGGCGGCTCCCCGGCCCGGCCCACTCTCCGCGGGCCGGGCAGTGAGGGCGTGGCTCCCAGGTTCCGGGTCCGGGGAGAGGGGACCATGGCCTGGGGCTTAGCAGCCTTCTCCGGGGCAGCCTGCGGAGACAATAAGGGGAGAGGAGCTTGATGTACGCTGAAGGGCCCGTCTGGAAGGGTCCACGAAGGACGGGTCACCTATTAGCCAGAACAGCAACCCTAAATGCAACATCCTCCAAGGATCTCTGGGCTCAGAGAACAAAATTGGGCCTGTCTCTGTGTCAAGGTGCTTGTTACCGAACAGAGAGGCGCAGAAGTGGATGAGGAGTTGGCAGGTGTGCCTGCCACATCCAAGCAGCATGAAGATATGCCAGGTCACAGCCCCCTATGAGGAAGCACCAGGAATCACCAGCATCCGGGTGAGTCCCATCCTCTCTCCCAGACATCTCATTTTCTAATCACACTCAGCCAAGTGCTTAGCCCTCAGCCTGCAGGTTCCTTGGACCAGGCCTAAGAGCCAGAGACCATGTCTTGTCACTAGTAGGGGCTCAGAAGGCCAGAGGCAAGTTAGTTTTTGTTTTGTTTATAGTAATGGATACTGAACCCCGGGCCTTTGCACTGAGCTACATCCCCAGCCCACCCATCCCCATTATTTTTAAGACAAGGTCTAAATCACTAAGTTGCCTGCACTGGTTTTGAACTTTACCTTTCTGCCTCAGCCTTCCAGAGTGCTGGGATTACAGGTGTACACCACTATGCCCAGTGAAAGTCAGGTATATATACAGCAAATAACTTTTTTTTTTCCCTTTGGAGACAGGGCCTCACTATGTAGTCCAGGCTGGCCTTGAACTCACTATGCAGCCTAGGCTGGCCTTGAACCTACGTCCATCGGCCTGCCTCACCCTCCCAAGTGCTGGGATTACAGACATGAGCCACCCTGCCCACCCTGCCAGGTGTTGGCATACAAAGATTCATTCATTTTTCATTTAATAAGTATTTATTTATTGCACACGATGTTCCAGGGAACTGCCAGGGGCCCTTTTTTGGTCAGGAGAGACAGGGCCTCATAGCTCACAGTTGGAAAGGAGATAAACATTTCAGTTAACTCTTATGATGTGAACAGGATATGGGGAGGCTAGAGATACGTGCCAGGTACCAGGTGGTATGGGAAATGGAGGTGGGGCATGGAACACTGGTCCAGGACAGAAAGCTGTGTGAGTCCTTCATGAACTCGACCAATGAGCAGAACAGAGCTTAAGCCTTCCCTGCACATCTTTACTGAACACCTACTGTGTGCAGAGCAGGCTCGAGGTCCTTTAAGCTAAGTTTCAGTGTCAGACTCAGTCCGCCTGGAGAGATGGCATGGAGTTTGGTTTTAAGGTGAGTTGGGGCACCCTAGGGACTTCCTATGGAGCTCCCTGGGCAGTGACCACTTTCTGCCAGGCAGCAAATACATCTGTTGAACTTCTGGTTTCCTGAGGGCAGGACCCACACCACCAGTAGCACCAGCCTTCTGCGCCCACACCAAGTATTCTGCAATGACACACATATACACACTCGAGCTCCGACTGAAGCTTGGAAGAGAGGTCACAGCTGGCCACTGACACTCAGAGCTAAAGGCCATTGCTGCCAAAGGTCAGTAGGCAACCCCCAAAGTTGAGCAAGCAGAGAGGCAACCAGGTAAGAACGGTCAGGGTATGGAAGGTCAGAGAGGTGGTAGGAGCTCTGGACACATGCAGAGTCCTCAAAAGTGACCAGAGAGTGAGACGGAGGAGAGGACAGGCAGATGGCCATGTCTAGAAGAAAGCCCAGACAGCAGAAAGCCTCGGGAGCCCTTCAGGAGAGGACAGCTGAGCAGGGCACAGGGCAGACTCGGGAGGGCTCAAGGAAAGGGGGACAGAAGGAGCACCCACTTTCTTCTCTTTGGGAAGTTTGACTAAGATAGAAGGAGAGGGGGAACCGAGTGGATGTGGGGTTTAGAATAGGGGAAAGCTGACATGTTGTGCACACCGAGAAGCAGGAAAGAATGGAGAAGCAACAAAAGTACAAGTACAGGGGTTGGAGGCCTGATCATCTTGGTATCCGATGTTAGTTGGCAGAGCCATGGAAGAAGCTATAATCTCTTCCTTCCTTGATTGAGGAAGACAGCAGGAGGAGGTGATCCTTGGATACAGTCTCACTGCAAAGCAGATAGGAATGTGAGCCAAAGGACAGGGCAGACTGAGAAACTGAGATGGACCAGAGTGGAGTGGAAAAGCTATGGGAATGGCCACATATCCCTTTCTCTGAGCTGTATAACAGAGATGGGCAGAAACCAACCCTGCAGACTGATGGGGAGGAAGGAGAAAGGCAGGGCTGCCTTCAAGCCCAGCTCCTGGCAAGGTGAGCCTGTACCTGGCATAGAAGGCTGCTTCCTAGTTGAAAGAAGACTTGGAGGGAGATTAGCTGGGGTGAGACAGGGTCCAATGGAGACCACATGTCTATGCTATCAGGAAGGGAAGTTGGAAAGGCAGCCAGGAAGATGTCAGGAAGAAAGAGGAAGGGTGTGTGCTAGATCCCCAAGAGGAAAAAGCAGCTGAATTTAGCAGCTGGAGGGGTGTCAAGGTCAGAAGTATCAAGGAATCTCAGTAAGTCCAGAGTTCTAGGGCAAATACTCTCTCTCTCTCTCTCTCTCTCTCTCTCTCTCTCATTTGCATGAGTTATGGATATCTGACCTGGTATCCTGGGGACCTCTACTGCCCTAGGATTCAGAGGGTTGAGTGGTTCCGAATCTAGATCTGCTTAGTAAAAGTGTGTCCTTGGGAAAATTACTTTGCCTCTCTGTGCCTCGTTTCCACTTATAAAATAGAGAGAAGTCTACCTTTGTAGCATTGGTATAACAATTAGACAGTGCATATGTAAAGTGCTTGGAACACTACTGACATACACAAAGAGCTCAAAATTTTATTTTTATTAACTTTGCTCCAGTGGTGGGGACCTGCCTCTCCAGGTTTAGGCCAAGACAGCAGAGCTCCATCCCTCCCTCCTGCCCTAGATTAGGAACACTGGAAAGTTTGGGGCACAGACTCCACAGACTGCTACTGCAGAGAGATCGGTTTCCCTGGGAGAGCAGTCAGAGGGCTGGGACTTGGCCCTGCACACAGTCACACTTCCTGGGTTTTCCAGGGCAATTCAGATTTCAAAGCCTCTGCTCTCCGGTGCTGTTACAGACAGCAGAACTCAGCACCCTGTGTCCCTGAAGTCCAATCACTGCAAATACAGGGCCCCATTCTGAAGCTGTGTTCCAGCAGATGACTCTCCCCGGCCAAGGAAACTGCCACTTTATCAAGGGCACGGGGAATACGGTCAGGCAAGGAAAGGGTACTCACCCAGCCCCGGGGAAAAGGGAAACCACGGAAGGGGAAAGGCCAGGGGCAGTCATAACTCCCAACCTTGAGACAGATGTGTTGGGGGGTGGAGGGGGCCAGCAAACTGTACTTGAGAATTTGGATACGGAGGAACAGGCCCTTCACTACAGCCAGCAGAATTCTGCTCTAACTCGAAGGACAGCATGGAAGGGGGCAGCTTTTGGGCTCACCCTGCCTGCTGGGATTCCCCAGCTGCAGCTGTCAATGGCTCAATTCCTCACTGTCCCGGAGGGCACTGGCCAAGGACCTCCTTCCAATCTCCAGGCTGGGCTAGCACACCCTACCCGCGGCCTGGCTGGGGGAGGCAACGGCCCAGAAGGAGCGGTGGGAGGGACTGAAATGACCAGACCTCTGGAACCCTGCGGGTGTGAGAGACCCTGCAGGGAGGGGGCGGCGCTGATTGACAGGCGGCTCCCAGGTAGGGTCTGCGCTCTATCTAGTCAATGAAACGAGAAGGGGTTCGGAGGCTGCTGAGATCCCATGGGACGTGCAGCCCCTAAGCCCAGCTACTGGGCAATGTCCCGGCCTAGGGCTGGATGACACCAAGGGACGCCGCGCAGGGATGTGTCTAGGGTCCCAGCCTTCTCCAAGACCCCAAGCCGGTCCAGCACAGGGTTCCTGCGGGCAGGTCCGGTCCAGAGGTGACACCCAGAACCGGTCAGCAAGGCGGAGCCTGATTGCCCTACCCGGCTGGGCCCCTACTCACCGGCCTGGCGCAGGAAGGATCCGCGCGTCGCTGCAGCACCGGGGGCTCGCCCGGGGCTTGGCCCGGCCGGCCAGCCGGCTGAAGGCAGCTCCACGCCGCCGCCGCCGCCTCCTCCTCCCTGTCTTCGGCCCGCCCCGCTCCCGCCCCTCCCGTACACTTTCCACAGGAAATGATTAACTCGGGCTGCGGCGCGTTCCCATGGCAACTGGCTGTACCCGGCGGGGAGGGGGGCGGCGCGCGCCCTCGTGCACACACTCGCGCTTGTCCTCACGCACACGCCGGTGCACACGTGTGCTCACCCTCTGGTGCACACATGCCCGTGCTTTCCTGAACAGGCTCGCGCCCTTTGCTTCCAACACACGCCGCACACATGCCTTTACACAAGTGCCCTCAGAGCTCTCTAGGGTCCCACTCCGGGCAGGAAGCAGACTCCTGACAGCTCACACTCGCACCAGTACCCACAGCCTCACACCCGAGTAGAAAACTTTCACACTCTCGAGCCGGTACGCACACATAACACATTTTGCACACAGGCTCTCAAGCGAAAGCATGTTTTCTTCCCGTTCTAGCAAGCACACGTGGTCTTGCACACGAGGTGGTACAAGTACACACTTTCACAAGTTCCTGTGTGCTCTGGCACGCGTGCTGTGCACCTCACATATATGGTCTCACCCCCCCAGCACCCACACTTTGGCCAGGCTGCCTCCTTCCCAGGAGACCCCTGGCGCACCCTGCCCTGCCCCAGCAAATGGAGCTCTCTCAGCTGGGAGCTGCCTGGGGTTAAGGTAAAACCTCCCCCTGAGCGCCAGTGAAAACGGGCCCGGGGGCAGCAGCTCCCTGCCTAGCCTTAGCCCCAGCCCCAGCCCCAGCCCCAGCCTCAGCCCCAGCCCCAGCCCCAGCAGGCCCTCCTCAGGGTGTGCCTGGGAGCCTTGGGAAAGGCCTGGAAGAGAGCAGGGGACGATAGCCAGAGGGACAGCTGACCGGAGGAGCCACTCTGTTCTTTGTCT